GGAAGGACGTATGCAATTTTCCCGTAGAACCAACGGTTTAAGAGTTATTGAATAAAAACGAAATTTTTTGTCAAAAGTTCGCCATTTCGACGCTGGGATGGTCGAATTTTGTCAACATCAATGAAATGTCAAATAATCATACGTAACTCGTTAAATATCGAAGTCAGAAGGAAAACAACTTTTATTTGAAGCATTTTTCGCAATTTTGAAAAAAAAAAATTTTCGTCAGCGTCAATACTTAATTGGATATTTCCTTCTATACTTCTTAGCACGTAGCTATTTATTATTAGCATTATTCTTCCGACGTCTAATTTCTTTTTAATTACAGGAAATGCGTTTTTCTAAGGTACATAAACTTTTGGGATTGACTGTATAGCCAATACATTCTTAACACATTGCGCGATCGATAGTAGAATCGTTTTTTTGTTTGGCGCGGCGATCGGATCGTTGTAATAAGATTGTTCAATGTGATACGATTTTTCACGAGGATCAATGAGAAATTTCACGAGGTCCAGGACTAATATAAATATGTATTTTATTATAAACAACTATAGCTTTCGTAATAACTTATTCATCGACGGATGAATCGGGAACGATGGTTGACCATGAAGACAGGACAAAGCGAAATGACGATGGACCCTTCGCGAAATCGATGGAGATCGCGCATAGGCGCGTTTTTTCAATGTAAAACGAATACAAATAAGAACGATAATGCTGGTAACGGCGGTACGTATATCGCATTCAGTACTTAAAGAGGATCAGGAGGGTAGGTCGTTCGTATCTAAAAAGAGAACGGCTAGAAAAAATTTTACGGGATCCTCATCGATTGCTCTCATTATTTTTATCGTCAGTGTTATTGGTAAAATTATTATTCCTGACGCCTTTATCGCTATCTACATTTAATCGTCGGATCGAAGCTGGACGAGATCATCCCTAACAAAATGTACTTTCTTCTTTTCATCCTTTTCTTTTTTTTTTCCCTATCGTTTATTTTCCTTTTTTCATCGAAGATATCGATACGTTACGTTTTCCGACTGATTTGTTGCGCAAACAATTATTTCTTTTTATATATATATGTGTGTGTATATATATATATATATATATACACACACATATACATAATATATAGATAAGTTGATTTTTCTTCGAAACTGTGCAGTTCCTTTTTTCCTAGAAAATTCGAGAGCTCTTTCTTGACGTTGCCGAAGCCTGCTCTATTCCTCGCATTACGATAATTTCAATGGAGGATACGGTCACGCGAGAGTGTCTCCTCTTTCGTTCGGCCGAGAGTACAAAAGTGGAGGTAACGAACGAATTGGGTGACGTATGTTCTCAAAAATTTTGATCGACGGTTCGATTTCTATTCGAAGAAAACTTTTTTCCAAACAAGGAGGATGCATCCTCTTTGGGACGGAAATTTCGGCCGAGAGTCAATAGTTTCTTTCCGTCTGTAGATTAGAAAGACATGACGCATAATTTTTGTTAGACACGGCGTTAGAACGTTGATCAGGAAGTCGACATTTGCTTTCGCATTCATCCACTGTCGAGCGACAGTTGGTTTTCCTTCCGCGAGATTTCGGGAATTATCGATTGTAAGTACGCTTGTCTCTTTTATTTTCAACGACGCTAGTGATACATCTGTGCAATGTAAATAATATTTTTCTCGAATAAACGAAAGCCCACGCGTGATCAGACACGAGTACGACCAGATTTATTTCCCCTTTAAGTTCCTCTGCGAAAAAGTACGAGACACGAGGGAATTACGACAAGTAGTGAAACATCGTAATTTCCTGACCGTGTGTGTTTCCCTTCCGGATAGTAAGTAAGTACACGTTATCACTGGTGATCTCTGATCATGGAGGAGTATGAAGCGGCAGGATGACTAGACGGTAACCCCCCCCCCCCCACCTCCCTCGGGGTGCTATTCTCAGCTGTTCGCCTCACGTGGCATCGAGAAACTGACGTTGCTCAGCTCAAGCTCAAAGCTCAAGTAGAGTAATACCAGTGTAGTATTGACTGAGCCAGTAGAGAGAGAAGGCGAAACATCAGTCCGTCGCTCTTGCTCCTGATGCGTTAAAATCCAAGCAGCCGGCGGCAGCCGCAAGTCGACGGCAGCTGTTGAGAAAATTCATTTCCTCACGTGGTCTCGTGCGATCATAAAACATTTTTAATATGTATATAAAACACTTTTATATATCATTTTTTAATGACATTAATTGATAATGCGGTGAAGGACGGGAATCGAGAGTTGTCTCTTAATGCGTTCTGAAAAGAGCGGACAATTCCAATTACGACGAGAGACAGTTATCATGCCGGATCGTCTTCTGAAAAATGTTTAAATGAGAGTGCCGTATAACGCACTCGAGATATTTTCGTATGATCAAGCGATAAAGAACTGATGAAATCGTGTCAATATAATTCAGTAGTTCATTCATAGTTCAAGATAGATTCGCAGTAGTTGGCTGCAACGTGTTGTATATCGGAACGCGTCCATGGGTCAAGTTCATCTGCTGTTTGCGTAGTTGATTTTGCGAATACAGCAGACGAGTAAAAAGTTGTAGCCATGTACTAGAAATGGTAAACTAGAGAAACCTGTTCAATGACCATCGCCGCTTGGCTACGCGGGTGTCGAAGGAGCATCGGTCCTGTATGAGTGAGACAGGGAAAGGATGGAGGTAGGTAGGGAGAGAGAGAGAGTAAGCGATTTCCAAAGGAGAGATTGAACCACCTCAGTCGGCCCCACTCGGACGCGGCAATGAAAACGATATTTTTTTCGCATTCGAGCGTTGAGAAGATGCGTTGCCTCGAATCAATTCCACGACCGTCGCTCAGCGTCGCTCTTGCGAGACGTTCTACAAATACGTAAGACAAATACGTAAAATATGGTTGTTTTACAGAATTCATAATGTATGTTGCACACGTGAATCAGAAAATAGAATCGTTTCATGCTGCTCTTTCATTTCCTCTTGACAAACCGAGTCATAAAATGAAATGAGAAATGAAAGAAATGAAAGAAATGATCTGGTATTATTTTTGCAACAACTAATATTATCCTCGCGAGAATATCCGAAAGAAGGAATTGTCTCGGCTTCGAAAGAACGTCCAGTTGTTCGTCCAAGAGTCGATCGATAACGCTTATAAAACGCGAACTCTGACCCGAATAAGAAGAAATGATACGCGTCGGAAAACGATCGGGCCGGTTTCACCGTGTGTTCGGCTTCCGGGTTTGGGCAACGAGAATGAGGTGTCGCGGGAAGAAAACAGGACGATACGACGACGTGAGGTGGGAGTTGGTGCCGGGTCGGAAGCAGAGGAACGAGAAAGTGTTTAAAACAATAAGGGTACCCGCGACGATAGGCCCGCGCGAACCGTGAAGCGTGAATTCGGTAAGTATTCGAGAAAGTTGCGCCCGAGGAAGAGAGTTTCACGGTTGCCCGCGGACTCTTGCCCGCGTGAATTAATTTCAGTGTAACAATCAATTGATCGATATTACGAACGAGTTGACGTGACACTTTTGATAAAGTGCATCGCAGAGACGCGGCCTGCGTGGATCGACAAATTGGGTTTCCAGTGGAATCATGGTACGTACTTATAGAGCGTTATCAGACGACCGTTTCACTCCTCCGACGAGAAGAACAACGTAGCGCGGATTAACTATACGCGTATACGCGTATACGAGGATTCGCCAGGACGTTCGACGGGCGGAGAATGAGATGAGATGAGAATCGATTTCGATCGAAGGAATGAGTAGTAGATAAAATTGCAGTTGCATTCGCATGAGAAACTGAGAAAATTTACGGAAACCTGGGTTATTAACAAGATTGTACCTCGCGTTAAGACTAGGATTGCACCGCGGTCAGAAAAACAGCTGGTATACCGCCTTTGTATTGAATCTATTTTTACGCACGCTACCATTAAACACAGCGGTCATTAACGAAATAACTATCGAAGGAGAATCAGTCTCTTTGAAGATTCCTTTGCTTCCCGATGGTGTATACGCGGCATGCGGACCGTCAGCCCCCCTGGCCCCGCCGACTGCGACACCTTTTCATTTAAGTATGCCGCGTGCACCTCCGCCTCGCTCAGTGCATCGTCGCCGCGGCTGTTCGAATCCGAACATCATCGATGCAATAGTTAATTCTGAATATAGCTGCTGGAACAACGCATATACGTAGCTCAAACGATAATAATAACAACAATAATAAAGAAAGAGAGAAACTTTGTTTGTACGAAGATTCGTGAAGAATGTTTTATTAAGCGAACGAGAGAAAGAGTTGTAACGTGCGGACGCTTCGTTCGGTGATAACGAAATAACTCGCGTCGAAACGCGTGACCATCGGCGAACAACAGGCAATAAGTCGTGTTCCAACGCGAGCGTGTAAGAGCGTATAAGAACACGAAACGGTCTTTTTGCAAAACAGAATTTATACTTTTAAAACGCGGGTCAATTAAGTACACCCTGTGTTTCAACGATGCAACTCGTGCTGGGCGCTTTGTCGTTGGCCTACACCAAACTTCTGCTCGATCGGTCGATGAGCGTCGTTGATCCAGTGAGTAAAAAAATTCGAAATACCATTGTCGTTGAAATTTTTATGCAAAATAAAACTGTCGATGCACACATCTACGGCTTTTTTTTGATTGTCGATCGGTCCGAAAAATTCATCGAATCATGTTAATAATAATAATAATTCGGTGTAACGAGCAGAGAGTTTCTCCACCCAACGATCGCGGCCGGCGACGATCACGAAAAAAGAGTGCTCGCCTCCTCTTTTCGCCCATGCATTCCATAGAAAAAAACTTTTTCAGAATGCTTCAGCCAGCATTCGTGCACACGTCTGTATAGATAAACGAACATGCTGCTATAAACTACTGTTTGCTATTCTTCGGACATTGAAGTCAACCGTCCTTGACTGCTTCGACCGTCATAAATAAAGACGAAGCGAATGCGCACGAAATAAAAATTGCGTGCGATAAAAACGATTCTAATAGCTGAGTACGTGTACGTTTAACGATGACGATGACGATGACGATGACGATGACGATGACGATGACGATGATGATGATGATGATGATGAGGATGATGATAATAATAATTTTGTCGGACGAATCCAACTTTCTACTTCTATTACAGGTGTAAATTAACAAGTAAACACGATTTCTGCGCGAAACGTATGCAGTAATGAGGTGTTGACACCTTGTCAGCAGTTTCGTGTTAACGAACGCTAACAAGATGAACAATTCGTAGCTACCACGGTGTAGACACCGGTAGATCGTATTACGTTCAACTTTCCTGTAGTTGAGAAATTCGTTTCGGTCATATCGGTCCGTGACGTCGACCAAGTAAACTGACCGATTATACTTTCGTATGCTACAGGATACGGTGATCCTGATCGTCCAGAAGATAGTCAAGTTCATCTTGTTTCTATTATCCTGCCTGCTGACACCATTTTTAATGCTGCAAGGTCTGAGAAAACGGAACAAGCTACCATTGATCAAAAGTCGATTGCTGTTGCTTTCAGCCAGCGAGATCGCACGAAAAATACGTAGACAAGAGGTAGGTGCTGTGCATCGTCTTACGACGAGGATAACGACGAATGGAATTTCGTCAGGAGCCTCTCGCGGTCACTCTCGATAATGCGATACGCATACGTTCGTTTTGCAGGTGAGCAGCGAGGAAGTGGTGAGAGCTTATATAGAGAGATGCAACGATGTCAATCGTTCGTTGAACGCGATCGTCGAGTCGCGTTTCGACGCTGCGGTCCAAGAGGCGCGGAACGTTGACAAGTTCTTGGCCGTCGTCGCGAGAACCGAGGAGCAATTGGCTCGAGACTTGCCTCTCCTCGGTGTCCCTGTCACCGTGAAAGAGAGCATCGCGGTCGAAGGTCTGCGGGTGATACTATTCGCGATACGCCGTTAGCCGAAATCCAAATTGACCCCGCGAACAATCGCTCCACTTTCTTCTCCACTTTCTTCTCTACTTCTTGGTCCTTCACTCTTATGCATTTTCAAGCAGGTTCGATCGGACCGCGCCTCGAACGCAAGTATCGTTGCTACCGGGGTAGCAACGATACTTGCGTTACAACGGATCTTGAATTCGTTCGAGGTGAAGATTAAGCGAAACCGTATGTTACTAATTCTAATTCGACGCTATGTGTATGGTCGCTGTTTAAAAATCTGACGACGAGTCAGATCGCGCCCGGTCAATTTGGTCTTAGTGGCAACCAAGTCGAACGCGAATGAACGAATCGACGAAAAGTATCGTAAAATAATTCGGTTTGGAAAAATAATCCATGTGGTGGAATATAAATCAGTGTTGATTCCTGCAGGGATGTCGAACGCTGTTGGCGTCAAGAAGAGGAAGTCGTTGAAAGCAAATCGAAACGCGCAAGTTGTCGACATGATTCGTGAGGCGGGCGCGATCATTCTCCTAGTTAGTAACACTCCCGAATTATGTTTGTTCTGGGAGAGTAACAACAAGACGACCGGACCCACTTGGAACCCATACGACACTACCCGAGTATCCGGTGGCTCTTCCGGTGGCGAGGTTCGCCGATCTCTTGTTGTTTTGTCTACCGATTAGTGTTGCGGACACTTACGCAGAATCAACACGATGTCATTTTCTTTTTCAGGCAGCTCTTTTGGGCTCTGCCGCTTCGTGTTTGAGCCTCGCGTCGGACATCGCAGGATCCGCGAGACTACCAGCCATGTTCTGCGGTGTTTTTGGTCACAAACCTACGGCCTGTCAGTTCTTCCAGATAACAAACTTCTTTTAAATACATATATGTAGTATACATATGTATAGAGACGAGATTTTCATAATATCTACAGACGTCATTTACCGAGGTGAACGTCCCAATTTCTACTCACCACACGTGATTTGATTCACGTACAAACGATGACGGGACGGGAAATCGGGACGGGAAATCGGGACGTTCACCTTGATTTTACTTGAGTCGCGGATGAATCACGTGAATTAAAACGGATGAAATCTGGTTCGGGTATCAGGTTTAGTGCCGTGCAGGGGTCATAGGCCAGACTCGAACGATACAAACTGGCCCCAATATTTCACGATCGGGACGATGGTGAGATACGCGGAGGACCTGCCGCTGGTCATGAAGATTATATCGAAACCGGAAGAATCCCGATGTCGTTTCGATCAGAAGGTTCTTAATCGTCGCAAAGGCTGCACAGAAACGATATCGCACGACAACGACAGTGACGAGACACGATTTCGACCTGCCGAACGATCAAATGCTCCTCGATATAATCGCTCATTATTCGCTATTTATACTTTATATTCGATATTTTTATATTCGATATTCGAACAAATCGAAATTGATCGAAACAATACATCTGAAACTCAATTTACATCTGCTCTGTGCTGCGTTTGATCGAACCAACAACCATCATGTTCGGCATGTCTTCAACAGTCTTATAGAAACTTTGACAACAGGTATCTCCGAGGAACATGAAATTCTATTACTTGGACGATTGCTGCGGTATGACGAATTCGATCGACGACGACATGAAACAGGCAATTCAGAGACTACGGATGCACATTGAAACTGCTTACGGGTTGAAAGTGCAAAAGGTCTGTTTGGACGCCGCCGAAAGTAAAAAGCTCGCTCAACATCTCACTATGTATAATTATACGCGTGGTTTTAGGCACAGTTCAGTCAAATGAAATTTGCGTTCGAGATAGGGGCATATCTTCTGTTACATTTGGAGGTCGACGGTGTCAACCAAGACGTAACATGTGCGGTACGTCAAACTTGAATCGTCAGTCACTCGTACCCGGTATAACAGACAAAAATTCTAAATGGAACATTAATCAACTCGAGCAAACCTTTTAATCGTGACGTAACGTTATCAAATAACAGGGATCGAGTAAAGCTTTGCTCGAGTTGCTGAAATGCATTTTCCACGCATCGTCTTACTCGCTGCCGGTGATCGCGTACAGCCTGTTGAAATGGATCTTCAGTAAATTTCCACAGAGTGTGCGTGACGCGATGGCGGAGAAGAGGATATCTCTGAAAAGAGAGTTCGAGGTAAGTTTCACGAATGTACAATTTCAATCGAACGGCAATTCGATTCCGATTTCAACAACGGTTTCACGTGATACCGAAGAAACGCGCGAATTGCAGGAGCTTTTGGGTGACGATGGCGTCCTGATCTTTCCATCGTTCGCGTCAGCGAGTCATTATCAGTACCAGGCTTACGCGAAGGTCGCCGACTTCACTTACATGATGATCTATAACGTGCTAGGGCTCCCCGTGACCCAGTGCCCAATGGGACTGAACAAAAGAGGGCTGCCTGTCGGGATTCAAGTGCGTATTTTTTATTTTTATTTATTCCATTTTATTTGGTCGTATTACACGGTGACAAACAGGCTGTTAGAAAAAATCTCTTCAGCCTTAACTCACTTTACTCGTCGTCACGTTTACGTGTCGCATGATCGATGATGACTGATCGATCGATCGAATCGTTGTAGATCGTCGCGAACGCTGGGAACGACCATCTGACGATCGCTGTTGCAAGGGAAATTGAGAGAGTTTTCGGTGGCTGGCAGCAGCCGCCCGCGAACGAGTCACAAGTTTGACTCTACTCTTTGACGCGTCGTTACCAAGATCCAGTCAAGAACCATCTACTTGTCCTACCGTATCGTCAATCGTCTGCGATCACCGCGTAGGAGAGTAGAGTACGAGAGAGTACATCATTGTCTCCTTCAACGAATACTTTTCGTACATCGTACGTAATCAAACTTTTCGAAGGCATTATTTCCTTTTTCTAATACACAAACTCGTTGGACAAAAGTTTACTCTTTCGTTTACTTCCTCACTCCTCCCTCTGCAGTTCCCTCCCGGAGCGGGATTTCAGCGTGTAAAAACAACGCCTCAACGACTTATTGGTTCATATTCATTTTCCGCGATCGCAGTTTTCTTACATTTACAAAACGATTTCACCTTTTCTAAAATCTTATCTAAAACTACGACTAATTTTATGCGTGTCTGAAATTTTATTCGTATAGAACAAAGTCGAGTCTCGGCATAAACATTTTTCTCCCAATTCGCCGTATCAGCATATTGAATAATTAATATTTCAACGTTCCGGTCAAAGTTTCGACAATGTGTTTGGCAATCTCTTACAACACACACACAAATGAAAAATTGACGAGACTCCATTTGTATGCGTGTGTATGTACGCGTCGTACGCGTGGAGGAGTGAAACAACCCTTGAGATGATGTGCGTGATTCGGCTTGCCAGTGATAGTACGACGTTCACCGCTCGAGACTGTCCATCTGGTCTCACGATCAGTAACGTCCCAGAGTTCATCGATGTAACATTCAACGACGTCTTACAATTAATCGTGCTAGATTCCGTGATTAAGCAAAACAGTACTATAAAAATTCTTAATCTCCGAAGAGGTCGAACGTTTTCGGCGAGAGAATCTCGTTCCAAGTTTCGGTCGTGCGGGTGGATATTTTTTTCCTGAATATAATTTCGTCTCGGAAGAAGGAAGAAAGGGTAAGATACGATACGAAAAGATCATAAAGTCGTTACAAATTTTTATGGAATACCGTCCTTTTCCTGATACGTCGCGACGGTGTCGTGTCCAGTCCTGTTGAACTAACGCGCAAAAATCGAATCCTCATCTTCGACGATCGTGTGGAAAATTTATTCAACAGGTGACATTTTCCACATTTATAAAAGATTCTTGTATCTACGTCGCAGTATACGATTCGTTCGATCCACGCTCGAGGAATCTCAAATATTTTACACAGATTACGTAACGAAAAAGGTGACTGGAAGTTTGCACGACGAGGCGATGAGTTGAGCCATCGTACCAGCTGCCCGACGCGCTAATCCAACCATATAAAGCACTTTTGAAGGAAAAATAAAACGAACAAATTGCCTAGATCGATGATTAACATTGATGATAATTCACGTTCGATCTCGAATTGCGCAACGTTTCGATCCGATTAATACGAATTGATTTTTTTCGATCCGAACACCTAAAACTGGTCTCTTGTGAATAATGATCTAGCCGATCTGAACATGGACTTAGAATCCTTTCGTTTTTTCACAAAAAAGTGAATGACTATGAGAAGTAACAAAATTATTCGAATTGCTACGAACCGAGAGCTTGTTCATGCACAAGTGCCCGTTCGGTAGCTTGTTCTGGGTCAGAGAACGTGTCGTGAGATGCATCATGAGACGATAATAATAATAATAATAATAATAATAATAATAATAATAATAATAATAATAATAATAATAATTACGTTGAAATACGTAAGCTGAAGGTGTGGAAGAATTCCAAGAATCGGCAATAAACGTTGTTTTTGTTCATGAATAATCACAGTTTTTGTTCATCATCATCTCGATGTACATGTAAATTGATTCATCCATGTGAAAAAAGTTCATTTCCTCATTTATACTGAGAGCAAATTAATTGTCTGTTCGGTTGAAACGGACACGATCAAAGCGAATTCATGCTCGTGCAAAGTTCAGATTCGATCGAAACACTTTACAACTTGTATCTAGAGTTCAACGCTTGCCGAATAATTACGTTTATGTCTAGTTGTTTACGACTCTGCGTCTCGAAAATTTTACGCGCCCGTTCGCTGAACACGTTCCACCTCGTTCAAATTGCCAGTTGATCGTCGATGCACGATCGGGTGATAGACCTCCTACGTGGTCCGTAGGTTTCGATTTCACGGATCGTGATAAGAAATCAAATCGAAGATGCTCCTGCACCTCCCCTGAAGTTCTTACGACTTCACCATTAAATTTCAGTGAAAGACGAATGCCTCGATTTCAACCGACTGAATGCAATCTGAATCGTTTACTTTTTCAGGCAAAATGGGATTTCTATTGGCCAAAATAATAATAACGATAAATCGCATCATTTTTTATATACTTGGACCGATATTTGCGCTGGTTTACCTTAGAAAACCACCGCGTTTACCGCCGATCGAGAATCCCTTATTGAAATTGAGCGCGACTGCGTCGGCTATGAAGATTAGAAACGGTCAAGTGAGTATGAGAGAAAAATGAAGATAAAATAGATAAAATTTCGAATAGAACGACGTTACTGACCGTGCGAATATGTGTGTGTCTGTGTGTGTGTGTGGGGGTAAGCTTTCCAGCCAGGCATTAGTGGAAGCATACGTCCAACGCATCAAGGAAGTGAACCCGTTGCTGAACGCAGTGGTGGAAGATCGGTTCGAGGAAGCCCTGAACGACGCGAGATTGTGCGACGCCAGGCTAAGGAGCGGCCAAGTGGACTCGAAGAAACTAGAAACAGTGGCACCGCTTTACGGTGTGCCGATCACCATTAAAGAAAGCTGCTCGCTCAAAGGTAACGCGAGTATTTCTGAAAACAAAAAAATACTAACAACAACAACAACAACAACAACAACAACAACAACAACGACAGCTACCGCGATAATGACAAAAATCAGATCGGGATTCATTCAGGGAGGGCGTATTAATTCTCTGGTTAAATCGAATTTAAGGGTTGAGTTTCACGGGTAACACGTTAAGGAGGAAGGGGATGAAAGCTCGACAGGACGGGGCAGCAGTGAAATTATTAAAAGAGGCCGGAGCAATTCCGTTACTGGTAAGCAACACGCCGGAACTATGCTCGTCCATTCAGTGCAACAACATTCTACACGGATGCACGTTGAACCCGTACGACATGAGAAGATCGCCAGGGGGATCGTCAGGGGGTGAGGTAGTATGAACTTTCAGAGTCGAACGCTTTACGTACAGTCGAGTTGGACCGATCTTTCGAACCAATTAATATAAGAAGTAGAGTCGTACAGTCTAATTTTCTATACCACACGATCACTCGCGTTTCTCTTGACTTTTCCTCTTTTTCTTTTCCTACCTTTTTTCCCTTTTCTTGACGACGATCACAGGCCGCGTTGATCAGTGCAGGAGCGTCGATGCTCGGCCTTGGCTCCGACTTTGCTGGCTCCATAAGACTGCCAGCCCTGTTCACTGGCATTTTCGGTCACAAACCTAGTCCAGGTGCGTACGCGGAGTCTCTCCGCGTTCAATAAAACCTTTCCTTTCCTCGCCTCATCTCCTTTCTTTCATTTCTCTTTCCAGACATCGTTCCCAACGAGGGCCACATGCCCTGGTCGGATCAAGATCTGTTCCGATCGATGTTGGTCCTCGGACCAATGGCGAGGTACGTCGACGATCTTTACTTGGCCATGAGACTGTTCGATTCGAGATCAGAGACACGGTTATTACCAATGATCGACGACCCGGTGAACCTGAAGGATCTAAGAGTTTTCTACGTAGACACCATAAACAATGGTAGCAGCCTAAAGTCGTCTACACAGGATATGAAAGGAGCAGTGCACAGAGCGACGAGGCATCTCTCCGAGAAAGGAGTCAGAGTGGAACAGGTGAAAAAATGGATCCCTCTACGCGTACCTACCTACGTATTATCGATTTCAGTTAAATGAAATTCAAATTGCGTTCCAGTTGGCGCAAAGTTCGCTGAAAGACTTATGGTCGATCATGATGTGCGTCTACCCGAACGTGGAAATGCCCGATCTGTTGGATCCCGATCACCCGGGGGTAACGATGACAACAGACATTTCTATTCAATTCTCTGCGATAGTGTCCGAGAGTAATCGTGTCGTCGTGTTTGTTTCAGAGCAAAAGCGCGTCCCTCGAACTGATCAAATCGACGTTCGGCTTGTCGCAATATAGCTTGTCGGTCTGTTATGTGCAACTGCTCCTGGATACCAAGGCTTTCATCTCGAGTGAAACGGCCAAACACTATTTCCAAGTGAAAAATCAATTGCGTCAGACGCTTAACGTACGATCGATCTTTCCTAATTTTTATCTCCCACGGTGGCAGCGACAGCAGACGGATCGTAGATCCCGCTGTCGTCCACAGCGGTGTTAAACGAGGCTTTTACCGTAAGCGTGCGTCTCTATATGTAAGTACTACCTATGCCTATCTTTTACAGGATTTGCTCAAAGACAATGGGGTGTTGATCTGTCCCACTTTTCCTCGTCCAACGATCTACACCGAACTCATCCTCTTCATATTGGATAGCAACCACTATTGTTCACTGGCTAACTTGTTGCACATGCCAGCCACGCACGTACCAATGGGCCTGAACGACGATGGATTACCGATCGGACTGCAGGTAAGCAAACTCTCGTACTGTTCACGTTCTATTATTTTTTAACTGTTTCGTTGTTCCAGGTAATATCTGCGCGAAACCAAGATCATCTCTGTCTAGCGGTTGCGAAAGAATTCGAAACGGCTTTCGGTGGCTGGGTACCACCACCCAGTCGTTGACCGGACCGATCGGACAGTGTATTATCGGTCGACGTATGCGAGAAATGTGATTTATTTCGAAACGTACTCGATGGATACAATGGGTATGGGAGAGTGCAATAACATAGAATACCTTAGATTATACACATGGTAAATCAGTAGAATTATTTATAGTATATAGAACCGGAGGAGGCGGTGTTGCTTCGAACAAAGGAACCGTGGCGAACGTGAAACATTGGAAATGCCATGAAAAAAATTCATGTTACTTTTCTGTCAACCGTCTTTTAACACCGTAACCCGAACGAATTTCCTTCCTAAGAAAAAAGGACCCGAACTGAGAATAAGAGATCGCGCTCTCTCTCTCTCTCTCTCTCTCTTTCTCTCTCTGTCTCTACGAATCTATTCCTTAGGATTAAAAAAACAATTTTCCATACGATTTTCTCGATCGGGATCTCGAATACTGAACGAACGAATTTCTGCCACAAGTATCGCGTGGTCGTCGCATCGACCGATTCATAAAAATACGCAATTATGCTTGGAACAGCTTAGGAAAAGAGATCGATTAACAACGGCTAATTCGAAAAGGTTCGTGTCAGTGGTCTACGGAAGAGCTGCCTTTGTCGTGGGTAAGGCACGAATTCTAACTAGTAAGGCACTGTGCTGCGAGCTCACTCTCGAATAATAAAAAAATTTGTAACATCTCAACAAACTACTATCGCCTGTGACTGTCGACGCGCTGTGTACCTACTAGCCAGTTGTTATTTCTTACGATCGCACGGTGGAACGTACAGTTTACCTCCGTGTTTCTCCCACTCGCGATTGAATTCGTGCTCCAACACCTCGGCCCCGCGTTTCCTGGTCAGTCCAGTCTCGTCTAGGCTGAGCTCGCACATTTGCATGTCGTCGACACCTTTTCGACAGAAATCAATTTTCCCTTGACAAACTCGAGGAGGCGAAACCATATACTTACTATATGTAGAGAACAATACACACGGAGTAGGTGAGCTATAGGCACCCGTGCAAATGGAAACGGCCCGCGATCGAAAAACAGACAGAAAATCGGTCGTACCGTCGGTCTGTCATTCTCTAATGTCACTGCGCAGTAGCAACAGCTTCACAGTTATATCATAATATTTGTACTTGTAATTTTACAATTGTAAAATTCAATATTACATAGTGTAGTTACGATGAAATCTAGGCAGTTCGATTATTAAAAGATTTCAAAATGACGAGGACTTGCGCATATTGCATGTTGAACGGACCAGCAAATCGAAATTTATATTCTTAAAGAACGGGGGAGTAAGTTGAATTTTGCTGGTGGCGACGTCGAATTTAACATGTCACTGTACCGAAGAAATATTGCGGCATTGCTAGGATTTGTTATTAACGAAAAATATCAATTATAAACTTGTAACGGATACTTTAAGCCATCGTCTATCTCAGATGACTCGTCGGGACAATATGATCACCGGTAACGAATTATTTATCTTATCGTTCAAGATTAATGTATATAGATAAGCGTTTAAAACACGAAATCGACAAATTAAATGATATAGAGCATCGAATAAGAATGTATCATGATAAACTGATTATTTTCAAGGGTAAATCGTTTGTGCGTAGTTTAACGTTCTACGTATTCTACAAATATTTTTGTGTTGCGATAAAATATAATCAAAAGTAATTGTTTGGAATTATAAAGCACAAGTTTGTATTGTTGAACGAGATACAAACATTTTATGACCTGCGGGTGCAGGCGACGTTCGACTCTATTCTGCATGCGTCACTAGACAAGACGGCACAACCGATCTCTTTTCTCTCTCTAAGCAAGAGACACTTTGGTGCGGCTTACCTCCACGACGTGTATTGTCTTTATAGGCGAAACCGCGACGATTGCTACTTATACCGTCGCATGAACACGCACACGCGCAGCCGTGCGTTCTCTTCCGCTTCCAACAAGCACGCTCGTTCAACGCGGATCACGGTCGAGTTTAACACCCACTCGATTTTCAATCGCGGTGACAAAACATTCTGGCAGCGTTCCCATTTACCCGTCAATCGTAATTATTACATCGTTAGATCATCATTGGTCATCATCGTTAAACTGCGATTTATTACGCGAATCGAAGTTGAACGATGATGACCAACGACGGTTCGTCAAGCTCGCGCAACGATGTAATTTTTTAGGTGCTCTCGGACGAAACGTTCTCGAACAATGATCAAAGTTGTGTTACCTGCTACCAGTAGAATCGGTGGTTTGTCAGGGTGGAGTTCCATTTGTCGGGCAACGTACTGACCATCGAAGTGGGCATACCACCATCCTCGCTTACTGGACGCGTGATTCTCCTGTTGGCCATTCGCCGTTGACCGCACGAAAGGGATCCTAAAGTATCTCTGCGTGGACTCCGTTATGGGCTGTTTCATCGTAGTTCTCGGTGTCCTTGCGGCTGAGATAAATTTCATTATCCATTAATCGCGACGAATCTCTCAAATATACGTGTGTACGTCGTCGTCAGTGACGCTAAAACGTGCGGCGACCGGAAGGCCACACGATTATTACCAGCTTCCATGATAGACCTCGGTGCTCTTTCGTTCTCATCCATGGTGGTCCGTCTTCGATTTCTCGCTTTCCACGCATGATACACTTTTAATCTTCGGTGAAACTCGTGACGACAAGCCTTTAAACAAATGTTTCACGAATCGAATGATGGTCGTATGGTCTGGCGAACGTCGGCCTCGCATCGTCTGTATTCGACGACGAAAGAACTCTCTTGTTTACCTCTAACAATTCGATGTCACAGGACGTGTTTATAGCATCTCGTAACTCCGAATACTTCCACTTGGACAAGTCATACTTCTTGGACGCCATGGTTGCCTGGTTATTGCGCACTTGCTCCGATCTGTTTCGTTTCGGACAAGAGGACCAGTTAAACCAAGTGACTGACGATCTTTTTCAATTAAGTTATTCAAACAAGAGACAGATAATTATTGAACGTTCGATTTGAATGGTCGTCGTCGTCGTCGTCGTCGTCGTCGTCGTCATCGGTAAAGTGTAGTAGTAGTTAATGCTGGCGGCGGACAGCGTTTACGATGCGTCGAAAAGCATGCAAAAATACAGGAACCACCGTGTGGCCCGTAAACTATGGCTCGAGGTTGTATAGATGCAGATTTTGCGAGTGCGAGAAACGCGCACGTTATTTAAAATTAGTCACGGAACGAGAAGTGAAATCAGGTGAATAGTTAAACATTACGTGCTCAGATCAAACCTCGACAAATCTCACGATACCTTGCCAGCCTGTTGTTGTTGTTGTTGTTGTTGTTGTTGTTGTTGTTGTTCGATGATACTCGCACAGCGGAACCGCTACATGTACATATTCAACGTATATAGCTCTCCCGTCGATCGATCAGTGTGAACAATATCATAAACGATATATATGTGTGTGTGTGTGTGTGTGAATGTCACAGGATACAAGAAAGCGAAACGAAACCTGCGTGAATACCTGCGAATAAATGGCGGCGAATCTTCGACTTGTCCGTTCGATTCTTGAGCCAGCCTCACCGCCAATTCGTGGTCTCTCCTCTCTTGCTCCAACAACTCGCGGTACCTGTTTTCTTCCATCGCTTCTTTTTCCAACTGCGCCTGCACGATTCGTTGAGCATTACACGTACACCAATAAATAATTATCATCATCGAAGAGAGCCGTCGAACTTTTATTCAAGTTTTAACGATACGATACGATACGATACGATACGATACGATACGATACGATAAAATCGACGTACTTGGAGAGCCGCGGCAGTCCTCTTATCTTCTTCCTCTTGCCTCTTCTTCTGCTCCTCTTCCATCTTCCTCCTCGCCTCGATATCGTGCTTCTTCCTTCTATTATCTTCCTCGTCTCTCTTCCGTCGTTCTTCGGCTTCTTTCCTCTCCTTCTCCAATTCTAATTCTTGTTGAATCTTGGCCAACTTGGCTTGTTCCTCCGCGATCTTCTGCTGCTCGACCATGCGACGAAGCGAGGCCATCTGGTCGTTCACCCGGTTCACCAGATTCGCGTAGATCGAATCGATCGCCGTCGGCGTTATTCGCTCGTTCCCTTTGATCCTATTCCTAGCCGCGTGTAAGTCGTGCCGCAGTCTGTTTATGTCGTCGATCGGTCTCTCGCGGTCCTTCAATTGGTTCGACGTCTCCTCCATACCGTTCAACTGCTTCTCCAAATTGGTTATCTTCGCGATACCTTTTATGCGAGGGCGATGCTGTTTCTTGGCTATGTACATCCTGGCCGTCTTCTGCAACACGATCAGATGATGCCTACGGTATATGATCTTGTTCTTCAATTTGATCACGGACAACGCGCAGAACTGCATCTTGTTCCATCGGGACCTGAGCAACCACTTCTTCACGTTCGCCACCAGCTTTCGTAGATTCTCCGGGTCCGACCTCATGATCTTGTCGAACTCGGCGAACTTGCCCGGCTTGAAGAACACTCTGGTGATGCCGAATTTGAAATCCTTCTTGTTCAATTTTAAACTGTGCAACAACGCCTCGCAGAAGAATCTCGGCTCTAATTTGGCCAACTCCGGCGGCAGATAGGATTTGTACATGTTGTACAATTCTTGGAACGGGACCCTGCTCGGGTAGCCGTGCTCCATCAATTCTAGCACGGACGTCATCCCGGAACAGCGAAGCTGGCCCAGAATGCTGTTCCCGTCGAACTGACGAGCCACCATGTCGTTGTTCGGTTTGATGCAACGAATAAAATTCGTTCCGTTGCTCTTCAATTTGTCCATCAATTCTCCGAGCTGCGTCTTAAATTTACTGCCGACGCTGATAAACGTAAGCTTCCCCTTCTGCTGTTGGCTGCCGAAATTGTTGGCGAACTGCGTCCGAAGGAATCTGTTGTTACTCTCTCGGATCAACGCTTCGAGGGACGCGTGCAGAGCGTCGTTGTTCTTCTCTATGAACTGATTCGTTTGATAGCAAACGCCGCCGGCGTAATGACGAATCACGAATCCCTCGTCGTCGCGCAACTCCCTGTGAGCTTTCAAACGGGAAGTGCGCGGCAACGTTATCCGGAAATGGCTGTTCCACACTCGATGAACCTCGCTGGTGAAGTGCGCGAAGCTGTGAGTCGGTAGTTTCGATTCCTCGTCCAACAGACTGAAGATTCCCATGTTCCTCGACTCGATCAGATCGATGCAGTCCTGATTGTCGACGTACGATATCTTGGGCACGTTCAGAGACTCCCTCGCGTAAAGATCCTGCTCGTACTTCAAAATCCTCTCGTTGAAGAATTGCTGCAACTTCTCATTGCAGTAATTGATACAGAACTGCTCGAAACTGTTCACTTTGAAGTATTCGAATCCCGCGATGTCCAACACGCCGATGTAATAACTGGAAGCTTTGAACGGAATGCTCTTGTTGATCCGAGCCACTATGTGATCGAACAGTTTACTGTAGATCGCTTTGGCCAAAGCGTCTCTCGCGTTGTTGGCCTCGTAAACTTTCAGCGGCACCATGATCACCGTCCCCTTGATACCGCCGCGGCTGGTCATCATCACTTTTGAGACCAGCGCTTGTCTCAGTTCCTCGGGATCGACGCCCAACAATTTCGCGCTGGTCAACATCGGTTTCTCCGAACTGGCGCATATCCTAGACCCACCCTTCGTATCTTCCGGATTATCCTCGAACGTAATGTTCCCCAGATGCAGTACAGCGGCTACCATCGTGTAAATCTCCATTCTTTCCGCCTCGGTCAAACCGAGTCTCGTCAACGCCTTTGCAAAATAATTCTTCGTCACTTCCCAACTGCTACTACTACTACTACTACTACTACTACTACTACTACTACTACTACTACTACTACTACTACTACTACTACTACTACTGCCACTACTATTACCGACTATCACCATCATTCACTACGAGGTGAATCGCGCTACAAAAATTGCTCTCGCTAAGCAGCATAATATGAGGTCAAATATGAGTGGTGAAAGGTGAACGGCGTACGACGAAGGAGAGAGTGCTCGACTATTATAACTCTACTTGTATTACCGTTGCCCTTTCCTTCGAAACGTCGAGAAACGTCCGATCGGCAAAAAAGGAAAAACATAGACGAATCATAATCGTGTCAGACCGATAGTTTCGAACTCGAGGACGCGCAAAAAGCGTGTTTCACGACCGAACGCGACCCGCTACGCGACACGAAGTCGACGTCGTAGCTATACACGGTAGTAGTGGTTTACCTGGTCGATGGCATTGAATCCTTCGACGTCGTCCAGAATCGGATCGTACAAACTGCCTTTCATAATTTGATCGCGACTCTTCTGTGCGTCGTTCAATCTCTTTTCCGACTCCTCGTTGCAAAAGTATTGCGAGCAACCGTTTCTCAGATAATGAAAATCGTCCGGTTTCCCGATGCCAAGTTTAGCGCGGAGCTCCGCCGGTGCACCGGCGCACATCATGTAGAACACGTGATAGTTTCGTTCGTCGGGACTTTGAAGGCAAACCCTCGATTTCTCCAACAGATAATGGGAGATGTATCCACCGACCACTTGGCATTTCGAATCAAAATGCACCTCCATGAATTTACCGAACCGAGAACTGTTGTTGTTCCTCTTGGTCTTTGCGTTTCCAAAAGCTTCCAACACTGGATTTGCTGGTAGAACATACACATATTAACATATACATACATAGTAGATAGCTGCGCGCGTGCGTCTGTTCGTTTTCTAGGCTTGGTGTACCATCTAAAATTTTCTGCTCGATCGGCCCAGCCGCCGATCCCCACAAATCGCACAGATATCTGAGCAGATACTTGGTCGATTCGGTCTTGCCCGCTCCAGATTCACCGGAAACGATGATACTCTGCGACTGCTTCAATACTTTCATGTCTCTGAACGCTTTGTCGGCTGAAGAGAGAAAAGGAGTCAGTCGTGATAAACATCGCTAACAACAACAACGACGACGACGACGACGACGACGACCGACGATTAAAAATTTACCAATGGCGAAAACGTGGGGAGGTGTCTCTCCCAACGATTTTCCTTTGTAAGCCTTGATCGTTTCAGCCGAGTAAAGATCTTTGATCTCGCAGTAAGGATTTACGGCGATCAAGATGTTGGCCACGTAAGTCTACAAAATATTAATACACGCGTAGGGATAAGAAAAGAATCGTTCGTCTTACAATGATTAGTGTAGTAGATTCAAGTAGGTAACACCGGATCTCGTTCTCACGTATATTCTATCCTTGAAATAACGAGTGCGTATGTTGTTGAGTAGCGTGGCCTCGTTCAGGTACATCAGAGCGCCTGGGAACATGAAAAACGGAGCAAAATTGGAAAGGTGAAAGCCGGTTTTTCAAAAGCCGGTAGAAAGTCGGTTTAAAAGTTAAACATAAAACAGTATGTGTGTTCCGCTTCCTTGATTCTAACATAAATCGCTGTCTCTGTCTCTTGGTGATCGTCAGTTTCGGTTTCACGAGACTATCGTCTCAATTTTGTTTATCTATTCGTGGAAACGTGGAACGTTCTACTTCCAGACTCTACGCATACCAGATTTTTCGTTTTCGTTCCTCCGAGCGAAAGGAGGAGCATTCGCTGTTTATCAGACAGATGATTTTTAATAGTTTTGTACTTTCTCCTCGTTTCCAATTGCGAGATCGATCGACATAGTATAGTATGTATGTACGGCGTATAGAGAAAAGTAGAAGCGAATACAGTGGTAAGTGAAATTACAGTTGTCTTCGACGTCCTTGGTGTATTCTCCAGCAGGATAGACTTGGTCCAATGGACAAGAGCGCTGTGGATGTTTCGGGTCCAATGGTACGATCAACGCGTCCCCATCGACCATGTCCGTGAACTTGCCGATTATAAAACCCTCCTGAGGGTCTCGCACCCAGACCTGCTGGTTCTCCATAGCTGCCTGCGAACAACACACCAACAATCACGTAACAGGTAACGTCGTCGTCTACTAGATTCTCGCTGCACTGCCTGCCGGTCTTCCCCTTTTAATTTCAACGACGAGCTCGATCTCGTCGATCGTGAATACGTTCTCATACTCGAGACGACGACGACGACGACGATGATGATGATGATGATGATGAGAAGAAAATGTTTCCACCGAGGACGACGACAAGATTCCTCGTGCGAGTTCGCTCTGGGAGAACGGGAATCCCTTTATCTTTCGCAGATACGCGATACACGACTTTCTCCAGGAACGAAAGAACGTTTGCACCAGTGAAAGGGGTCGGTTTCGTTCGTTTCCGATCCCGACGGAATTGCGACAAATGCGAGAAGAGCCGGTGTGGAACGCGCGCTCCGCGACGCCGCCGCCGTGACGACGCCAGGAAAGTTCACGAGCGATTGGCAACAATTTATAAATACTCGGGCGATAACGTTTTATAGCGTTTGTTACTGCAATTTCCTCGTTTCGTTCGGAGCGAAACAATTTCCAGGTACGAACGAAGAATCGTGTACGACTTAGTAAATTTTACCGTTGTCGCCTGCCGGCTGCTACTGATGATCGGTCACACCGCAGCGACCGCGTTATTGACTGAAGAAGCAACACAAGTGTTCACCGTCAGAGTCGTTCGATAAGGATTTAAAACGATCATCGTCGAGGAAACAAGACGACGACGACGACGACGACGACGACGACGACAACAAAGACGAGGGAGCGATTCGATTCAGTTTCAACAATCACGACCGCGCACGATCGTACATCAACAAATTCTAATACAATTCTAATGGCACGAATCGAAATATTGAAACTGAGCGTGAAACAATTTAATCTAGCGCGCGATACAGTTTTTTTTAACAATTAATTAGTCGAATGGATTCGGGTTCGGATCGGTGACGATACGCGAAACCGTTAACGTGCACAACTATTTATCGGTCTTCATCGGGACGCAGATAAGAGACACGTGTGTCGCCATTACGATTCAGGTTTGTCCGATAATCGTCGGTCGTCGAACGCCAAGCCACGCATACGCAACGTGGTAGAATTTTGAAAACGCCGCACCACCATCGTTGCGAGTCGCGAATCAAAATGGTGCGCTCTCGAGCGACACGTTGCGTGCTTGGCCCCGCGCGAAACAGCCAGCAAATGACACGGGAAACCCGTTACTACGCGTTCTATCGAAAGAACCCGCTGCCAGCTACATTTTCTCTTCTGTTGGAAGATAGATAAAACTGCGCTCGTCATCGTTCATTCCGTGCAAGTTTGAAACATCATCGTTGGAAACCTGAATTTCGACGGTACGGTATACTAGGTCGTCGTAGGTATATTATGAACTCGCGAATACTACCTGTCGGATAACATTTTCATTGTGAAAATTGGTTTCGGCAACGTTCACCGATGATGATCATTCGCATGGGTGGGTGATCTAGAAAGCACGCGCTAGAGAGGAATGGCTAGTTCGTTCGCCGCTGCATTCTCAGCATCCCGTTAGGAGTGTATACGGTAACGGTAAAACGAACCGGTAGATCCTTGCCCGATCCTTGAAACACGAGCCTGCGCTCGCGTCGCGTTCGTCCTATCTACGGCCTTCTACGTTACGCTTATCTATATCTATAAATGGACAGATAATTTCAATAATAAACCACCGGCTGTAAACCCGACCATTATTCGCCAAAAAAAGAAAAAACTGATCATATCGTCGCCGATCGTTTTCATTGCGTGCAAAACGAAACGTTTCGAATCGTATTTCTGCAATCAATCGAAATGATTACCGACGACGTACGACGAATACGCCTGGATGTCACGATTGTTCCAAGTAAAATGAATGAATCAGTAAACGGGAAACAGGAAATGACAGCAGGTGAAACCGACGCGGCAGCGGCGACCAACAGCGGTCAGGGGAACAGGGAGACACGCGTCAGTTGACACGTGGTTCAAAAGTTCGTTCGGATCGGGTGCCAACAATTTTCTTCGTTTTCTCCAATTCTTTCTCCGAGTACCGATCGGAACACTAATTATATAGAAACATGTAGAAAAATCAATGATAATCTTTTTATAAATTTTCCTTGTTGTATACTCAGGAAGTATCCTAAGGTATCCTAAACTTACAGAGCAAGTCCAATCCTATGAGAACCTGCTTTTGAGAAGGAATCTTACAGACATAAACAAGTTCGCATGCCATAGACTATAGACGAAATAATGATAACGGCTACAAGGAGAAGGATCTCTCGACATAGGACCGAGAAAAATTTTAAATTGATTCATTGCGTTCTTCATTGAGCTTCTCAATCCTCAACTTGCTTCCCTTAAAACCGACAAATTATCATGTCAAACGTTATCGTCCCGCGGTTCGTCTTCTTCTTCCTCTCCGAGAACGATCTATCGAATTTCCACGAGATACGTGAAGAAACGTCTTCGTCTCGCGACTTTAACACGGCGCTAGAACGCGAATCTCCACGGTAAGTGCACTTGAATCATTATCATTTTTCTTCGCGTATCGCCGACGCGGCCACGTGTCTAGAGACACCTTTTTCCGTGACGCTAAGAACGTTTCGTCGCACCGCGAGAAAGTAAGAGCCGGAGAGTCTATCCGTTGTCACGGTCAACGAACTCGGGGCAGCCAGCTCAGCAGCTACTTTACCTCTTCGCGTAGAACATACTCGTTACGCGTTACGTTCACGCGTTGCGTAGCTTCCGTTTAATAATTGCCCTTAGCCCGATCTCGCAATTCGTACGACGAAAGAGAAAAAAAACAGAGCCGGCAGTAGAGTGCTGCTCATAGTTCGATTCGTCGGTGCACTCACGTACGGCAGTATCGTTTCGCTGGTCGTTTAATATTAATTGGAACAACCTTCGTCGACGACCGTGTTCAACGATCGACTGCGTGGGGCCTCGTGCCACGCTGTTAAGTCGCTCCCCTCATTCAATTTCATTATAAAACACCGTTTGAAAATAAAAATCGCGTAGGATCATAGTAACTCGACGTGTAATCGATCGACTTTACGCGTGAATATCGGCCTCCGGTAAAAACGATAAGCAACGATTACTAATAATAATTAATGCACGTATGTAAATACGTCCTTGCGACACGTTGCCTTTTCGCGTTGCCAAGATATGATAATTAACGGTGGTGCTGGACTGGTAACCGCGACCGTGTTACGTTACCCGACAGGGAAGAAAGAATCGTTCGCGTTCCCATATACAGTAGGCAGAGGGGCGCGGGGGCAGTCGGTTTCGTGAGATCGAGAATCGCGCGTCGTCGATGACTCACGACCGTCACGCGACCGTACGAATCGTAGTTTCCACGCCCGCGACGCGAGGCGACGTGATTCCGCCGACGTGTGTACGCCGTACGTTTCTTCCGTAATTAATTCCGTAATAAATTCGTCAGCTGATCGAGACCGGCTTGTTCTCGAACCATGTTGGATCGGGGGACCCGATGGCGAACCCGAACGAGCTTTCATCGCGCACCGGGAAATCTAGATTCTCTTCTTTCTTTCTCATCCCATCCCAGATACACTCACGATTCACACGCTAATTCACCGAGGCGTCTCGCATTCGCGCACCTCCGTCGCCGTTCAATTCTTCTAATCCTCCTACAATTAAATGAAAAATATCTCATCCCGACGACGACGTAACGATGTAAAATACGCATGCCCCGCTACCTGTGTGACGTTGACAATTGACCAAAAAATTTCCCTCGCCTATTTTCGTCGCTCATTTCCAAACTGATGACAACAGTCATAATTTATGAGAACACCGAGCTTACTCTACGATTCTTATTCGCAATCATTGCGTGTACACGCGCCGTACCACGGACGCGTCGCGTTAAACGACCGACGAACAATTGCCAATGCGAAGCAATAGCAAACGATAGCCCTGTAAGTACTTATCTTTGTCAATGATGCACGTTTCATTGCTGCCAAACGAAATGCACCACTGTCGAAGCTAATCGATATTTCGCACATGGTTCGAACGAAAATTCTTTACCGTAATGATAACGATTTCGGTCGGTTGAATTGTTCCTGATTTCGCACCAGGTCGTTTCAACCGACGAACAATTGCTCTGACGCGCGGTCTTGCTTGCGCGGTCACAAATGAATGTGCGGGGCGGCAAATAAGTGAGGGAAAAACTTGTCTCTAATAGTGTCAGAATGTCCGAGAGAACCGAAATTCGTCATGCTTCTATCAGCACTTTATGCTTGCCATTACCGTTACGAGCGATTAATTATTTGTACAGCACAGATAAAACGTTCCCACCACCCGCGTATAGAATCTCGTTCTCATTAAATGTTAAAAAGATCGATTTCGCATTTCCATTTCTCGTTCTCGTTCTCGTTCTCGTTCCAGTTCAATATATTATAATTGTCTTCGCGTAAACGTAAACAGGTATCTACCTAACAGCTGTATACAGAACCGACGCCGCACACGATTGACGAGATCGACCGGTCGATTTACAGATCAGCAGCAGCGGCGGCGGCGGCGGCGGTAGCAGCAGCAGCAATTAAATCGAGTAGCTATGCTAAATTCGATTCGGAAAAGAAGTAAACGTCGGTACATTATTACACACTCGTTCGTCTTACGTCCACTAAATTGCATAACAGCTAAACGTAATCACCGGTCCGAGTACTCGCACAAAGAATAATAATTACCAACTTTAAAATTGGGCCACAGTAATGACGATCACGAATGATCTTGTCAATTGTCAAATGTAAAAGGTAGCAGCAGCAGCAGCAGCAGCAGCAGCAGTGGCGGCAGTAGGTACCGGTCTATTTGTTTGCTACGCGACGACGTGACAGGTTTCGAAAGATGAACGGAGAGGTAAAAAGAAGCGGCTGTCCTTACCGTGGAAGCTTATGCGAAGAAAGTGGACGCGTTGAAAAGGAGAAGAAGACGCGCGTGTCGGAAACAAGTCGAATCGTTGTTCTCACTCACCGACTACAAGCAACGACGACCAACAACACTACCAGGACCAAGTCCGACTTGCAACTGGCGCTTCGATGACGCGTCAGTCCCGTCCGTTGGATCGGCAATTTTCGTACGTTCTCGTACGTATATCCAGACTTGCCACGCGGCGGCGGCGGTGGCGGCGGCGCGCCCAGCAAATGGCGATCACCTGGCGAACCGCGCCACCAGAATTCAACCGCGATTATTATCGGGTAACAACAGGTGTTCGCAACGAATTCGAAAATGTAACAAGCGCAGATTCTACACTACGGAATTACACCCGTCGCATCGAACACACCGAAGAAGGAACTTCATCTTGTTTAACAATCGACGTTGAATTGGCGTACATATTTAGAAACCGTAAAGACATCGTATCGGGTAAAGTTGCGTGCGAACGTGGAGCGATAGACGATAACGGAGGAAACGAGAGAGTGGTCACGGCCGGGATTTCGCTGTTTGCGGAAGGAACCGGAAGTAACGTTGGCGTGTGGTCCATTTTTAACAGCCTTTTTAAAAGAGAGTGCCGTTGAGAAGAGTTCGTGCTCGGCACGTACATACACGTGTCGCGTATATGTACGGTGTCGTGAGATTTGAGAAATCTCTTTCTCACTCGTTTCTTCAATTACCCAACGACCGGGGTTACCGCACGAGCAGCCGCGTGTCCACGAGCTCGGAGCTTCATCTGTAGCAAGAAGAGAAGACATTCTTTGTTCCTCCTTAAATGCGTTAAAATTCCGCGTTCAGCAGCTCCCACCGATTCTCGTACCACGAGACATTTCCTGTTCTTCGGGATCATAAGATGAAATTATGAAAAAACGTTTTTTTAAACGGTAGTTACGAATCCATAAAAGGCGAGAGAGAGAGATAAAACTAAGTGTGGCGATCATTCGTTCTGATTAAAGGTGAAACCAGTACCTCGTCTGTACGATTCACCTGATCGCCTTTCCACACGTGCACACACACACACACACACACATATACCCCGAGTACAGGTAGAAATAGGAAGAGAAACGTGGAAGGTCTCCTATATCCTTGGCATCCGTTAACGACTATCCGATTGTTCCCCAGTTTTGAGCGATACCGGCTTACTCACGGCAACTAAGATGTTCCAGTTTACCACGTTTCCATTTCATTCCTTACTGTTCTACCTCCCGAACAAATCGTTGTCACGTATCATATTTGAAATTCAATCTGATATTATCCAAACGTAAACGTACCTACTACAACTTTGTCCGTCCTGTTCCTCAGCGGGCGCGCGCGTGTAGGTACTTGAAAAGATTCCTACATTATAGATTATAGATGTTGTTTTAACATGCTCAAATAAACCATGTTACGATAATCGGAGAACGAAAAGAATAGGCCGATATCTATTGTCCTGCAAAGTTTTAAAAGAAATCGATACGATTCGAGGGATTGGCGACACTGGTGCCTTCCGCTTTCTCTGGCCCTGTTTCTAAACGTAATTTCTAACTCACCAAGTCCGTTCCGTTCACTTCCTTGTTCGATGACCTCAACGAGGAAAATTCCTGGACATCCGCCGAGTTAAAGCCGGCGACGACGACGTTAAGAATCAGACGTCGCGCGTGGGCTACGAACAATTCAAATAAATGGATTTCTCCTGGATCATTATTATCGCCGATCATCATCCGAGTATTAAGCGCGATGCATTGCTAATCTGCTCGTTACGCGTTTAACCAAGTTAACGTGGAAATTGATTTTGATTTTAATCGTAACGGGTCAATCTTCATTGCGGGAGATAACAGAGAGAAGAAGAGCGATTTGGCATTTGATAATTCTTCTAATGATCAATCTTTCTCCTTTGTTCCTTAGTTGTACATCCACACGTACGTGTTATGCACACACGTGTATCGCGTTTTCTCAGTACCTGTGTGTGTCGCGTCGTCAGCAGCAGTCAGCAGCAGCATCACGCTTGTCCCAGCCTGCGAGCGAACATTACCGATCGTTACTCGTGGTCGCGCGAATCTTATGCGTGCGAAAATGTCATGTGTGTACAATCACGCGGAATACCATAAGCGGGCGGGAGACTGACGACGACGACGAGCAAGGATGAGACGCGAAATCCGATCTTGGCCAGGAAAACATCAGCTGAATCGCGGCCGTTAAAGAAGTTAAGAAGGAAATTGCATTCTTGCTCGAACCCGGATTTTCCTAATCAATTTACCGATCAGATTTAACAATCGGTACTGGCTCATCATCGAAATTGTCTCCGTCGGGGATTACCAATGTTATCACGAATGTTTGTCTTACATCGAGTCGACTGATCGATGGCATCGTCCAGTGAAATAAATTCTATTGTTCGGAATTCTCTTTGAACAGACACAGTTGAATACAGCAATCTGTTTAAACAGTACGTATTCTTATACCTGTTTCGACTAACGCAAAGATCGCATCTACCGCGGCTGTTAAACGCCAGCATCGTAGAAATAAATCACGATCGATATTGTTCTTAACCAATGAATCACGTTTAAAAATTTGTTCTTCATCGTGTCGTCTAATCTCCTCCACGCATACAATTACGCAATACTTCAAGGTGACGACTACCAATCATTGGTATACGCATACCAGCTTCTCTCGTCATTTTCGATTTTCCTCTCCGCTGTTACGTCATCCTTAGCCATAAAAAGAATATTCCTCGGTCTTGTACTCGTCCATTTTTAGCATTAGCGCAAAACGAACTAAACGCCAGCCATTATTCGCGTCAGTGTCCAAGACAGTTTGCACGATTTTTATTTATAAAATCATCGATGACTTAAAAGCTTAATTTAGGGTACTTGGAATTTTGAACGACCGTCAATCGTTGAGCGATGCGTCAGATTCGTTAATCGGATACAGTTGATGTTATGTTATTATTTTCACCAATTTCCAGCCATCATTGGATGGGAGGTTGCGAAGTAGATGGTGAACGTGCGTCCAACTTATTTATGAATGCAACACGTGACTGACTGTGAGGCAGGATCAGTCGTAGTTGATTCAACCCGCAGTAGCCAGCAGGAATCCCCGGAGACAAGTGTGTGTGTGTGTGTGTGTGTGTGTCCAGCGTTCGTAAAGGTACGCAACAGGGAATCCCGATAAACGGGTATGAAAGTCTCCTCCGCCGCCTCTCGCTCGTTACTCTCTCCCGTGCATCGCTTCTATTCTTCATTCACTCATCCGACTCTGTGTATGCCCACTGCGCTCAGTCAGTGGGTCCGCGGCGGAGTCTCTCGCAAGTACCATTTACCTCCCGTACTTGGGTGTCGTCGTCGATCTCAGTGCGAAAACTTCTCTCTACACTAGAGGGTATACATACACATGTGCGTATATATCGATTTATCTAGAAGTGTAATACACGTCAACTCATCGGTCTCGATCTCGATCAGTTGTTTCTACCGTGGCAGGATTGCAGTATGCCCTTGTGTACATACGACGAGTGTGTGCCGATGATATATCGATATCGATCAAATTTTGTCATATATTTTCGAAACGGTCTCGATGGATCATTACCATGGAGGGGTCGTTACATCGATCGATGGAGGATGGATTCATTTATAACGTAATCATCGAAAATTGCGGCAAAACAGTTTCTAAACGGTTTGAAAGCATAAGCAGATACCTACATCTTTCACTGAAATGCCCGCCCTTGGGCACGAACTTCCATAATACCCCGAGGATCGTGTTTATCTTTGCTAATGCCGAGCAACGACCATCGATGAACGACACGGAAAAATTATTATTACATATATTCATTGTTTAATTTTCAGTGTTCACGTGTACGTATCACGTTTCGTTGATAAAATATTTGATCAATGAACAACGTCTTCGATACTTTTGATTGAGAACTGTGACGGAAAGCAACGTGGTAGTGGTAGTAGTGTTGGTGGTGGTGGTGTTGGTGTTGAGTGGAAGAACAGAGTGGGAAGAGCAAACCATAAAGAGGGTCAGAGAAGTCAAATTGTGAGTAAAAACGTTGGGACTCGTTAGCGTGTCGCTGGATTTTTGGATCATTACGTCGCGTCGTCGCCGCCGCCGCCGCCGCCGCTGCCGCGTCCGTCAAAACTGGTTTCGCGAATACACGATCGGCGGTAGTAGACTGGATTCTGAACTAAATGCAGGGCCTAGTTTCCCCCGTTCGCCGCAAAGCAGACAGGCTGTTTCGAAATACTTCAAGAAATCACAGACAGCAGTTACGATAAAATTCGATTGCTTACAAAACCAGGATTTAGGATTGACAACAACGTAAGAAAGATTGTGTCGCCAAACTCGAATCTGTCGCCGAACGTTCAACGCGCGGTTCAATCGTTCTCGATCGAGTAGCGTTAACTTTAACCATCGATCGACAAAGTACATATTTCTTTCCGGTTGTCAACTGTTTCTTGGAAATTCCTCGTCGAACGAAAATGACACCGGACACGCTCTTTGCGACGCTTAGTAACGATCACACTGCTGCTGTACGTCAATAAGTACGGTCTAACGAGTCAACGCGTAATTAACAAGTGATAAACGTACGTTGGTACGCAAAGAACGCGAACGGAAGAATAGGTAAGCGATCTATTGGAAACACGGATCCATAACTACGACGCGTACAATTACAGCTAATTTCTCAACTGTCTGGAGAACACGTTTTCCACGTTTCGAATCGCACCTGTGCATATTTATCCGATCAACGCGTCTGTACGCTTCGATCCATTTTCGATCTTCATTCCAAATTTCGTGAAATCGTGAAAAAGAGAGAAACGAGCAGAATGTTTCGTGCAGTTCACCTTGGGTGAACGCACAAGTAATTTCTTCATCTCTTTGTCCCGGGAACGAGCGGCGCGGTAGCGGCGCGGCAGCGGCGGCGCGGCGCAGGGTAGCAGAAACATACCTGCTGTACTTTCACTGCGCCAGTTCCGCGTTTAACGATTCCTCCGATCCCGAGCCAATTCGTTGAAAACGAAATTCAAACTTGGACAGGGAACAAACATTCGAAGAATACGTACGATGTATACATACATAGTATACTACATGGAATCGCTTGTAGTCGTTCGATTCGTATCGACATGTACATACGTATATCTAATTTTAAATATTACGTCGTGTATCGAAACGGGTGTTTAGCGTGACAAACGACCTGACAAATGATTCGAGTGTTCGCCGAAACGTTCCTATCGTCGCGTTTTCCCCACGTACCAACACCCCAGACACTGCGAGAGTTTCGGGAAAAACACGGCAGCAGGTATCAAAGGTCGGCAGTTCCTGTTGTTCGGATATTCCTCTGCAGCTTGAGAGCTTATCGCGCAACTGGCGCAAAGCGCAACCGAACTAAATCGCCGGCAGCGCGCTATCTCTTACATTGCGCAGGTACACGTATATATACACACATACGGCTTGGTGAATGAGTTGTTCGATCAGTGCGCTCGGTAAGTCGGACTCTTAGGTCTGCGTGAAACACCTGAAGTAAGTACTCGTTTGGATAATATCTGATAAGAAAGGGAAGACAGTTCAACTGTTCGAACCGGTGAGTTTTCACGGAAAACAACGGGGGGGAACAACGATCAACGGGGGACTCCGCGGAGCGAAATTAAATTTGAGCGGCGTCAATTTAACAAATGAAATACATCTCGCATTTGAATGATCGAGATATAAACGTCTGTAATCGACGACTGGTGCTGGTGCTTTTTATACGTCTTGCGCTGTTTTCGCTTCCCGCATAGGTAATTAGATTCTCGTATAAATTCGTAAAATCTGCCAACGATTCGATCAAACGAGAAATTTGTGTTTTACGACGGACGAGAAATGTATAGAATTGTGAGTGAATTTAGAACATGTATCGACGTTGTTCAGTCGTTTAAAATTTGTTATCAGTTCGATATAACTTGAAGTTATCTCCTAGTCTGACTGATAACGAGACGTTTCCAGTTGCGGAAGGTGTAAAGTCCTAACAGCACTTTAAGCGTACTCTTTCTTTGTCATCTAATCATCCCAACTTGGTCTTGATCTTCGATTCGATTCACGTATCGTCTCATTTTTTCTCGACTTGTGTGACATACGCCATTCTTACCCCCATCATCAGCAAATCATTTCTACTCGCAAGAGATGCGACCTTAAAATCAGGCTCCCTGCAGCCCGCACTCTGCACCCCGTACTCTCTATTCTATCCTATCCGGATGTGTGTCGAATCGAAAATAAAATTAAAAAAACGATCGGGGACCACGTTTATGAAATGATGTTGCTACATAGGTTTTCACGTATGTCTTTAGAAATCGTTCGGAGACATGTCCGAGGATAACTCGTTAATGAATAGACTGATGATGGATTCGCACGCGGACGATGAGGAGGAACACCAGGAAAACGAGTCCAGTGTTCTGATCGCAAAAGGAGTTACCATGGCCATTTTATGCACAGTAAGCATTTGCATGGGCATTTTACCGTTGCAAGTGGCCAGGTGCTTAAAATGGAACGCCTCCGACGTCGCCAATCCCAGGTTCGTCACACACACATTTAAGAACATCGATACGTCGTATAAATCGTAATTTGGAAGAGGTAGCGATGATAAAAAGTGAATTAAACGAATCTCGCGTGCTGCTTTAAACTTTGTTAAAAGTTGAAGTACGTTTGGCGTAGGTCACGTTGCGATTCATCGAGCACGCGAGATTTCCGGATCTCGTTATCAGATCTCGATGATTATAAATGACGATGTTGCAATGAAAACCACGCTTACGGAATGTCAAGGCGTCGAATGAAACGAGTGATGAGAACTAAACTAAAATTAGCCGCGATACCGCGATACCGCGATACCGCGTTCAAAGACCAACTATTGCATGAAAATCCTATTGCAACGACAGGTCAACGAGAGTCATCAGTCTGCTTCTGGGCTTCGGCGGCGGCGTTCTCTTTTGCACAACGTTCCTCCATCTGTTACCGGAAGTGAAAGAGGGCGTGGAACATCTGACGCACGATGGCAAGCTACCGGAGCTCGGGTTCTCGATAGCCGAGACGCTCACTTGCGCAGGGTAAGCTTCACAAACAGATCAGTGTTCAGAGTACATGTTCGCTCGCAACTGTTCCGTCCGATATCTAACGACGTCGACGAACCATCGTCAATCTGTCATTCCTTCGATGCGAATCGCGCGATGAACAGTAACGCGATCGTGGCCGTGAAAAATTATCTCACAGTAGCTGTGCCCTCGATCCTTTCGAATTTATCAAAACATTTACCATTGCGTCATAGACCTTTGTTGCAACCGGATAAACAATTAAAATTTTAATTCTCCTCGATTCGATCGATCGTTAAAAATATTTTTCCACTGGTTCCCGAAGGTTCTTCATCATGTACCTGGTAGAAGAATCGGTGCATAGTCACTTGCGGACGCAGCAGGCACGCAAGGAGGAACGCTCGACGAAAGACGTCACGAGGAGCACCAACGAACTGGTCGAAAATGGGCAGACGCCATCGAATCGCGTCAGTGGCCACTCGCACTAGTGAGACAACTTTCTCGGTTATTTTTTGCCTATTTTTACCTATCCCGACTCGTTATGCAAATCGAGACACGTTCACTGTTGCAGTAACGGGCACGGACATTCGCATCACCTGCCGGCGGCGGCGGTCATTATGGACGAGAAAGACGAGTTCATCATAAGCTCGCTTCGCGGGTTATTAATAGTCCTCGGCTTATCCGTGCATGAATTATTCGAAGGACTGGCCATCGGCCTGGAGAGCTCTGCCTCTTACGTTTGGTACGATGTATTTACTTTCTGACCAACACTCTACAGCGCGTAGACGCGTGTGACTGCGGCGGCGGCGACGGCTACGTATACTTTTTTCTATCTCTCGTCAATAACGTTTTACTTACGTAAACGGATGCTCGTCTTCATTTTTATTGATTTCGATATAGGTGGGATATATACACGTCAGTCATCAATACGTCCTATACGGGTTTCCAACTATTATTTTTAGATATTTCGACAGATAGCTGCGAGCCGAGTCGGGCCTACTAAATACACGTCTACACGTTCGATACCGATAAGAATGATGACGATGTGTTGACTCTGTTTTCGGCAGGTATATGTTTGCGGCAGTGGCGGCTCACAAATTCGTGATAGCGTTCTGCATCGGCGTGGAATTGATTGCTTCCAATACCAGACGGTATCTATCGGTGATCTATGTCTGCACCTTCGCCATCGTATCTCCTCTAGGGATTGGCATAGGAATGTTTCTGGTCGGTGGCGAAAGTGCCGCTGCCAGTGGAATACTTCCGGTTCTGTTGCAGGTAAAATGATGCTGGTGCACCGTCGTGCCCACATAGTATTCTTTTATAGAGTTCGATCGATGCATGCGCGGCATCGGTGCACGCTATACGTATGTATGTCAAACCGGTTGAATGTATCAGGGTCTGGCATCTGGCACTTTGTTATACGTGGTGTTTTTCGAGATCCTCCAAGAGCACAGAAGCGGATTGGCTCAGTACGTGTCTATAATCTTCGGATTCGCAGCAATGTTTGGGCTTCAGATGCTGAGTAAGTGTACAAATTCCTAAATAATTCTGTGTGTGTGTGTGTGTGTGTGTGTGTGTGTGTGTGTGTGTGTGTGATGCAATGAAACATACCGATCTGTCGAGAGTCCGGACGAATGAGGAAATCAAGTCGACAGTTTCGTGCATGAACAATGCGGAGAACGTAACGATGAGTCACGGTTTACGTACAAATAAAGGAGAAGTAATCTCGCTGTTAAATGTTGGTCGTAAACATCGTTGTCAGCTTATCGTTCGGAAATGCCTTATGTTAAATTCAAATGAGTTACGCGATTACGCGAATGACATGGGAGGCGAACGCTCGCGCGATACAAGTTGTTCTTACGAGAAGACAGAACAGACAGACACATAGTTTCTTCCATGCGAATCGACTCTTGAACTGAGACGAAGAGGAAACTGTCGTGCCGTTATCAAATGTAAATTCTTTTAGCGCGCGTTTCAAAGACTATATCGAGAGAAAGCGTTTTCTAAAAACTACGGTATTACCTTACCGGATCGGCGGCAGTGCAAGCAATAACAATGATGATAAAATCGAGAAAAAAAAACGAGTTTCGACGACGACGACGACGACGACGACGACGACGACGACGACGACGACGACGACGGTCAGCAATTATTACGGATCAATCGCGTGATCGAAACACAATATAATATAGATTAGGACAATCGTAAATCGTGGTAACAACGTGGCGAACCGTAGTCAGAGTTGGGGAGAAATATGAACTACGTAAGAAGAGGCACGTGTCTTAATTATAAATTAAAAGGAACCCTTTCTGTGCTGCCAATGATTCAACCGCGTACGCTGCTACGGAGCCGCCTTTCACCATGAAACCGACTTCACCCATTTACGCACAATCGCGTGTCTCCGCCGCATACTTACTTCATGGCCGCCGACATGCTCGTTTCTTTCTTTGCTCGAATCTGCTCAAACTCAAAATCAATTTTTGTTACTACTACACGGAAAATGGCTATGACAAGGCCATCCCTAATCAGTCCGAACTGAAGTATCAATCATCATCCATTCGAAAATAGTCTTCTCCTCGAACCATGTGATACTACTACCAAATTCTATCCACAAGGCTGTTGTTCGTAACTTTTTTATTTCCTGAACCAGAACCAGAATCTTTGTTTCGGAACTTCTGTGTGTGTGTGTGTGTGTGTGTGTGTGTGTGTGTGTGTGTGTGTAGAGAGACTACTACGTTTATACTGTGTATAGGGATTCATTTTTCATTTTCATTATTCGCAAACAATGAACGAAAACGATCCGACGATTATGTACTCGACATTCGACGCGTGTTCTGTAAAAGTTAGCAAGCCTCGTGTTCGCGATCGATCTCATCGATCAATGAGAACAACAATCAGCTCGAAGCACGCGATGCTTGGCAATCATTCATTCTCCGGCACGGTACAGTATGCATCCCACCGATCGCGGTTCCATCCGCGAGTCGCCGTCGGGTTACCAAACAGACGTATCGCGTCGCATCGGATTCATGTGTTCACGGGAGAAAACATTCACATACGTATAGATACACATAGACACGCGCGTCGATCCAGTGGCTATGGCAATGGCACGCAACACACCCAGTATAACCGGTGTACACACGCCAGCACACGCCAGCTACAAGGGAAAGGAGAAGAGAGAACACCGGGTAGGGAAGCGACGCCCTTGTGTACGATGGTAGGGGAAGAGAACAGGAAACAGCCGGCCGGGTACGTAAGACGCGGGCGAGGGGACTGTACGAGTCGAGTCGAGTGTGGCCCTGCTGCTGGCTGGCTGGCTGGCTGACAAAGTAGTCGTGGCGTGTGGAGTGTCCGATTCACCGTCGTACCGCGCGTGGGACCAGTATACGTCGTCTCGATTTGTTTCTTCGCCGATTCTCCTCGGTGTTCCCCGGCGGGAACGCAGTGGATACCAAGTGGTGCGGTGTAATCTCAAGTGTAACATCGGTTACCGCGGGTCGTTCCGCGATGTCTCAGCGCTGAACACTTGACGGAATCGAATTCGTTTATTTCCAATCTCGTTCAACTTGGATCCTCTTCAGAGAGAGAGAGAGGGAGAGATAACAAAGTTCCTCGGCGGAACGTGATTCCGATCAGTGATTCGATCGTTTCGTAACCGGGATCCGTTCACGGTTTCCAAATATTTGGCAACAGAAGTCGTGCACAGGTCGCGCGAAAACTCTTAAAGATATTCGCGAGAGTGGCGGCCGAGTATTACGCAAACGATGTTCGTAGAACCTTTTAACGCCTAGTAGATATTAGATTTCTAGGCGTGCATCGGTTGCTTCGTCGAACTGGTGGAGGTTGCTACGCTCTGGTGAGCTCGCGATTTCTCAGGCGGGAAAAGTTTGTAAAGTCGCGACATCGAGTGAGGATCGATTGTTATAGAAACGAAAGTGGTGGTCGGACAGTCGCGCAGGCAGATGGAATGGAAAATTCTTCTATAGTGAAACGATAGCCTAATCTCCAGCAGTTATTGACCAGAAACCAGGAGAAGAAACGTATCTTAATGATCCGTCATCGTCGTTGTCATCGTCGTCGTCGTGGTGGTTGAGCTCGTGCGCCGCGTTACAAATGAAAACGTGACCGTATCGTTTGTGGACACATCCGGACAAAGAAGCGTGGAACGCTTGATAAACCAAAGGTCGCGAGCGGAGGCCGGGGAATGAGATGATGATGATGATAATTGAAGATAGAATGGAGAGAGGAAAGAAGGATGCGGTGAATTGGTAAAAATCATCGGGAAGAAAGTTGGAAAGTTGATCGTCGTCGTCGTCAATCGCCGCGACTGTTCATGTTCACGCGAGATAACAATTCGATTCGAACTGATCGAGTTTCAAGCGAAATAATAAAAATGGAAGAAGAATCGGTCTCGGTTTTATTGATAGCCAAGATAGGAGCGATGATCGGTCTTGGACTCGGATCTCTGCTCCTGGGTATATTACCGTTGATCGTCGGACGTTACAGACTGAACCATCGTCAGAAGCATCGTGGTGGAATTTCCATCATCAACTGCAGTACCTGCACGTCGGCGTCGGTTTCGAATGCATCATCCGCCAGCGTGATCACCGCGTCTGCGTCGGACTCGCAAGTACGTTCCAAATATGCCAAATCACAAACTTAATAACACGAATTCGAGAAGTCGTAACTCGCTGCGTAATATCGGATCAAATTGCTCGTTACAATTTCCTCGAACAACGACTTTCAATATTTCAATATTTCAATGCGTATCTGCTTTACGTACGTTTCTCGTTTCGTCGATCGTTCGTTGATCGTCGATGATCCGAAAAGTATCATCCGTTCCGATAGTAGAGTTGTAAAACGACAACGAGAACACGATTCTCCAACACTTGCTGCCGGAACGAATCGAGCGAGAGCGAATAGAAAGATAGAATGTAATATGGTGATCTTCAGGGGCTGCAAACGTCGTTGCTGCTTTGTTTCGGTGGAGGGGTCCTCCTGTTCACCACGTTCCTGCACCTAGCCCCAGAGGTTCGCGTCAGCGTGGAGAGACACCAGGCGAACGGTCAGCTGCCTAGTTTGGGCGCCCTCAGCCTGTCGGAGCTACTGTTCTGCGCCGGATTCTTCCTCGTCTACTTCGTTGAGGAGGCAGTGCACGCAGCGTTGACGGGAAAACCTGACTCGTCCGAGGCGTTGCTTTACAGAACGGTATCCGTGCGCAGATGCAACAATCAATCGACGGGGTCCACTTCGGCCGGAACATCGACGGGTTCGACTACCACCGTGTCTACTACGACCAGATGGTCCACTTGGAGAGACGGAGGTAACGACGACGACGACGACGAGGACGACGAGGATTTAGAAGACAGCGAAACCGATACGAACAAACACTCCAGGCAGCAGCAGCAGCAACAACAACAACAACAACAGGAGTACCTTGAGGAGCTGCGCGATGGAAAACAAGATAAGATGCTGCCCGCTATATTCGTCTTATCTTCTCCCACCACCGGGATATCTTCGGTGAAACAGCAGCAGCATCATCGGGGTAACCACAAGGGTAACCACCAGGACAGCGTGCGACGGCTCTCCGACGCGGAATCGAATCGAAATTATCATCGTAAAACGAAGCATCGGCGGGAACACGCGCACGCTCCTGCGACGAAGAACACTTCGATACAAGGGTTGTTGACGGTCTTAGCTTTGTCTTTCCATGCGATTTTCGAAGGTTTAGCCGTCGGTCTCGAACCGTCTCTCAGCTCCGTGGTTTATCTAGCTGCTGCTATAGCCACGCACAAGCTCGTGATCGCGTTCTGCGTCGGGATGGAGCTGTACGTTGCCGGGGCTTCTGCCAGGACCACTCTCAGTTATTTAACGATATTCTCCATGGTCACGCCGATTGGTATCGCTGTCGGATTGGCGCTGGGATACTTGAAGAACGACAGTGAAAATCTGGGACCTACCCCGACGATTCTACAAGGGATGGCGGCGGGCACGCTGCTCTACGTGGTTTTCTTCGAAGTGCTGGCACGTGAGAGAGCTAACGAGAAAAGTGGCCTCTTGCAGTTGACCGCTATAATTATCGGGTTCATGCTGATGCTGGGCCTGCAGATCGCCAGTGAGTGTTTCCGTGCGCGGACGAGATCACTCTATCGACCAATTACGATAATATTAAAAATTATTATTCCGGATCCTCCTCGTCCACGTGAACGTATAAATCGAAGTTTCAATTCGGTCTTTTCAAATCATCCTACTCTCATTTGAACGCGTCGACATAGTTTATCGACGGGGACCGGTAGTCGCGGTCGACAGTTGATCGTCGGTTTGCAGCCCTCGTTTTCATTCCTCTCTTTTTTCGAACTCATCAACTGCTGCTGCTGATCGGTGCAAACCTATTACCGGTACGTCCTTGACGCAATCGCCACCCACGTGTTCTCGTAACACGTGCATAGGACCACCACCACCACCACCACGTCGATCGATTCAACGAAAAGTCGAACGCTTCCAAAAAGTCACGGCCGCGCATACCGCATAAGACCTAACTACTAATACGTGGAGAGACGGGGAGACTTCGATCCCTCGAGTTCATCGATGATCGATCGTTCCAAACAGACGACTCAATCGCCACTGTCGTCCGCGCCACTCGTCACCGTTTACCCAACAACACGAGATAGACGTTATCGCGCACCCGTGTATCGAGCTGAGCGAACAGAATCCCAATGTATTTCCTACCGATAAACTGATAAACGCGTTCCAACACGTTTACACAGAAGTAGTAGTAGTAGTAGTAGTAGTAGTAGTAGTAGTAGTAGTAGTAGTAGTAGTAGTAGTAGAAGTAACAGTAGCAATAGTAAAAAGTTCTTTTAGATTCAGCCTCGATCTAACTTGTCCGATTTCTACGTCCGACGTCGACCATTTCAACTTCCTCAATTTCGTCCGAGATTTAAAGCGTGAACGACACGCGTTCACGCTCACGTTAGAGATCGTTTCACAGTGTTCATCACTGTGTCCGCTTAGAAGACTGATGATTATGCAAATTCGCAGTCAGATTCCGCGCTTGATTTTTCCGTTCCACGACATACCAGCACACGGGGGCACGGTAAAACAATGATCAATTGCAATTAGATTAATGACTCCGATAATATAAGAGTGGGAAACGAAACACCGCCAGTTCCTCCTTCTTGCCTCGCGCGCGCGTCGACGCACCGAAGAAGAAAACTCGGATGTACTTATTAACCCGCCGTTAATTCGCGAAAACTACGTGATATCATTGCCGATCGTTCCCGGCCGCGCACTGTATAAGAGAACCCACACGCGCACACACGCCTGATTCCCTCCGCAAACAATCCATCGAAATTTTAAGCATACCGTAAATTCCATTTGTCTGCATTCGCGCAGTAGTAAACGATTATCGTTTACGCTCACGCGTCCGATGAGAAAGAACTATTTTCATTTTTTAAACGTGTGTTTAAACATAAAAACGTGTAATCCCTCTCGGAATATGATATCCATGGAATTTGAGCAATGCACATCGTGCACCCGTCAACGGCAAGTGTCTCGTTAGATGTAAGAAACTTCAAATGGAACCTTACACTCGCCATCCGTTTGCTGCGACGCGTTTACTGAAACAGCCGAGTCTGCCCCTTAATAACCGGATCCGGTACTTACTCGGGAAGTCTAGACCCCGCGCGAGGAATTCGCAACAGCTATCGTATTTTACGGAAGTGTCACGGCGCGTTATGCAATTTGATCTCACGACGATACACGATGTATACAGTCGAACATCGTCGTATTCATAATAAAGCATGACGTATACGCATCCTATACGTATACATATTACAGTTCATTGATCTCTTAGTCATTGATCGATTATTTTTTTGTTTATTATTTTAAAATGGGCAAGCAATCTACGATTGTACGATTGTAGATAATAATTCAGGACAATTGTTTCTAACAGCGGCGACGGAACGTGCGGTGTTGTGTCGGTCGCGTCGGCGCGGTGAGAATTATGTTTGAAAATTACCTCTCAATTATAGTCCAAAAGGCAAGCTTAAAAGGCAAGCTTAAAAGGCAAGCTTAAAAGGCAAATAAAACTATTCGAGTTGTTCATGGGCTTTCTCCATCAATATGTCAATGACCACACGCGCGCGCGTAGAACCGTGGACAATTCAGCCGACTTTCGTACACTTTCCACGGCTATGCAGATATCGCGTTTCGATACGTAATTATACGTTTTATGAGAAAGGAAACTCCCATCACGCGATCTTGCACGTATGTATGCGGCAGTCGGATCAATGAACGTGTGTACATTTCCAGCGTACACACCTCAAGTCATCATACCGAAAGCGATCGAATGAGGATATTTTCTATAACAGTCGCGGTGCTACACTTGCCACAATATTCGATACGATGTCCTCTCGTTTACCAATCGATATTCGACATTTCGTATAACGTTAGCGATGCTTCGAATTTCCAGAGTCGGAAATTGCTCGATGCAAGATTTCGTACACAGACGGACAGACAGATCGAAACACGACAGGACTCGATCGAAATCCACATATGTATCTCTGTGTTTAGATGTGTTTCCGTATCCATGTCCCTCCGTAAAAAGATGCTTTTATTTTCCAGCGGCGCATTCTCACTCTCACTCCCACTCGCATTCGTACGGAGGTGACTCGAACGAAGGCATGCACGTGCACGAGCAGCACGGTCATCCGGACGATCGCTATCATCACGATGAACTGGACTCCCACGCCCACGAGCGCGTTTCGACCGAAAGGGTGCTCGCCGACGGGATCGACCGAGTGACGGAATCTATCGCAGAAGTTGTCAGCAACGTTCTCTCGTCGACGATCAAAACTACGGGCGATGAATTGCCTTTCAGGAGAAACGAAACGTCGCACACGGAGAGTCAATAAGAGTCAATCCACCGGCACGCGCGATCAGATCCCTCGACTTGGACTATGTGCGCGTACGTGGTCAATAATAATCGGACGTATCATTATCATCATCATCATCATCATCATCATCATCATCATCATCATCATCATCATCATTATCATCGTCATCATCGTCATCGATTGGTGTAACACAGGATAACTGGCGTGGGTCACTGTGCTGGTGTGGATTTAACATAGACTTTGCAATATTTCTTCAAATCGGACACACACAGAAGTTGTTTTAGTAGGTCTCTTAATTATAACTAATCACTGAAATATCTTTCGTCTAGAAAACATTATTTGTGTATCTCATCGTCAGGTAATTAAATGCGCAAGATTATTTTAAATATTATTTAAAAAAGGAAAGTTAATATGCCCGTCAATCACCGTGCTATTGAATTTGTACACATTTGTAAATACTGTGCATCGGCTACTGTATCCCCAGCGGTTGTACGTACACATTGTATACTGTGCGCATAATGGTAGCAGCTACTGCACCTTCCATCCAAATGTGCCGTGTTGACTGTGCGCATCGATTATAGTTACGAGAAATGTAAACTCTAAAATTTATACTCTCCGAAAAAGTTTAATTGAACACGCGACCCGTGAGCTTTTTAAAAGCGCGTGAATCGCAAGGTCGAAACATGAAACATTATTTTCAGTATCTATAAAGCTTCTTGTAATACGCAGGTCGATGAGCCCAATTAAGAGATGTCAAAAGCTGTGTATAAAAATATATCTGGCGGTACAGTTGTAAGAGGGGGTCGGGGGGGGGGGGCACAGTAAACCCACACATACCCTGTACGTATAGTATACTTTCGGGGTTCTATCCACTCGCGCTACTTGAATTATCAATCGTCAAAGACATTCTAAAGAACGAGGAGGAAAAGAAAAGCATCTCTGAACGCACAAAACAAGAACAAAGAATAGTGTTATGAAACCGATCGATTTCAAATCGGGAGAGAACAATACTCGATGTTTTTCCGTACTGTAAGTCACTGTCACACGACATTTGTTGCGAACGATAAACTCGGTGACATTTACCGCCACTACAGTTGCCGAGTACGTTACAAGTACGTATACACGAGTGCAGTTTTCGTGCAGTCGCGTTACTCTTCTGCCTTTCCTCAAATGCAAGAACATACGTAGCAGAAACGTCATTATACCGTTTATATCGTAGAACTAGAATTAAATACGTCTTAATCGCGTGTACATACAGGTACAGGTTGCGTTACGTGACGTCGTGATCGATCGAAATGAAAAATAGAGCACATTTTAATATCACCACTGTAAATTCAATTGAGAACGATTGTGTTTTAACGAGTTGCATACATCTTTCTTGTAGTACGTGATCATTTGCGTCGCGTGCTTTGGGGTGATGACAGAGAGGACGATCGCGCATTAACGCGACGACGAAGAGACAATAGGACGTTGCGTGAAAGCAGAAGGAACTGCTGCTGCCGTTGCTGCATTCTACAAACATTTGCGCGATATCGAGTGATGCTCATTTATTCACTTTGATTCACTCGTACGCGAACGAATCGGGATAATACGACGACGACGGTACATACTACATATAAGCGCTACTGTACGTGATGAAACGTGATTAATTCCATTTTCTTTCAAACCAAAGAATCGGTTTTCAAATGGTAAATTATATTTTTCACACTACATGTACGTACATGAAACAATAAATTAAAGAAACAGGAAGAAAAAAAAGGTTGTAAACACACATACAAAACGAAGTGTCGTCGTGCCCTTTGGACAACTACTCTGCTGTTGTACCTGTCAAAGCTTTGTCATATCATTGTAGCTGTTTTTCTACGTTACGTACAATAAACTAGTGATATGCAACACCCTTTGTGCAACTACAATTGATGTCAGTGACCGAGATCGTAGAATGCTCGTCGAGTTCTCCACGAATTCAATTCATCATTATTATTTATTATAATTCCTCACACGCAACACACAGTGTGAAACACTACTAATAACAATGAACACATAAATACGACTGGGGCGCGTGCGTGTATTCTAACCTGACCCAACTCGTATACACACACACACACACACACACACATGCGAGTATCCTTCGGCAAAAAACCACCTACATACGTACATTACACAACTCTATTAGTTGTATACAACGTCAGTTTATTAATAAAGATCATAGGTATCATATCAAAACGTTTGAAATTGTTAATAAATTACTTTCGTACACCGCGTTTCGGATACTGCAATAGAATTTATTGTAGATAAAGATACAATTTTCTGTTTCGGTGCACACACGGTCAACGCTAAACTCCGAGTAAATACGTGTATGTATATTGTATTTCTCCGACGCCGAAAACCTGTCCGCCGGAAATCGTGCGTGACAATTCGTCGACAAAATATCTTTCCAATCTTTGTTTTTTGAATATTTATTAAAACAGCTGAAAAGAATTTGCACATCTCTACCACTACAGCTAATCGATTACTTGTTGAGAATGACAATGGTACTACATGTTTTGAAGAAAATGCACTCGTGTTACGAGAAGAAATTTCCTCTTTTTTTCTTTCTCACACATTTCCGTTGACACGTAGGTCATACGCGGTGTTCACAATAATAATAATAATAATAATAATAGTAATAACAATAATAATAATAATGCTTATGTAGAACGCGAAGCGTGGTGCGCATTTGAAAAAACTTTGTTCATCATTTCGTCGCGTGCGCCGTGTAGAATACAACAATGAGCTCAGGCTTTTCGTGTCTTGTGTTTGTGGATGTGTGCGTGTGTGTGTGTGTGTGTGTGATAGTTGGATCGTCAGTAAATAATCGGTAAGGACAAAATAAATGTAATTCGTGATTACTTCGAGAGTGCGATCCGTCTCGTAAACATCGGCGGTGGTCGTTGGTATCCAGAGGTAATAGAAAATATAAAAATTTGTAAATATTTAAGAATGCCTTGCTCAACCGTTACCATTATTCGTTCACTCGGTTTCTAATTCAATGCGACTCTATTTCCATAACGTATTATTGCAAATTTTTCATTTGGATGTACTTTTATACACATCGATCATGTTATGTCCGTCTACTTCTTTTGTATCTGCCCGTCGACAAAGTTCAGGTAGCTGGAACCAACCTGAATGAACGCTAGTCCAGAACCAATGCCCACTAATGTGCACAGAGTCGGATTAGGAGGCACGACCGACCGGAGAACTGCCCACACCAACACGGATCCGAAGCTAAGTAACACAGCCCCAGCGGTACTACAAAAAAGACAAGCAACAACAAATGACGTTGAACGACGAGAAAAATAAATGTATGCACGATACGTTTTGAGCATGGAACGTCGCGGCGAGTAGCCGCGAGGCAGGAAAAATTTACCTGTACATAATTTTCACACTCGTAGGAGCACTTTTCAAATGATCACGAGTGTATATGTACGAACCAGTGCCAAGGAGAGCACTCCCTAACAAGAAATTTGTAATGTCTTTCTTTGGGAAAACCCTGAAAACAGAATAAGAACCAATGAGACGGTCGGCGCGAAAAAACGTGACACGAAATTTAGTTGGCCAACGTTATAAACGCGAGCCATGACGTTTATTGAACATCGTTCGAGTCCGAATTCCAGTTCGAAGCAAAGTACGCAAAGTATCAATCACGACTCAGAGCGAGAGAGGACATCTTCGAGGATATTACGTAACGTTCTACGTATGATCGGAACGATACTCGAGGGACTGCAGCAGGTTAACCTTTCGGATACGAACGGATTCGTTGGTGTCTTACCTGATGACAAGACTGGGATTCATCACGTTGACGGATAACGCGGTGTAAGAGGCTACGCCGAACGCCGGGGCATAAAATTTTACGAGGCTGCATTTTGTTATCGGCTTCAAGCCGAGTTTTTGTAAAATCGTGCCGGCACTCGTGCTTCCTGCCGCGGCCATCGTTCGTCCCGTTCGTCCCTGTTGATCGTCGTCACGTCACGTCACCGCTTCACCACAAACCAAATTGTAGCAGCACTGCAGCAGCAGCAGCAGTTCAGGATTCAGGATCTCAAGTAAGTCACTTCGATCGCGCAAGCCGCGTGCAATCGTTCTCGAGGACGGGGCGGGATCCTTACAAGCAGCAGACGAGAAAGAAATGCGTAAGTATTTATACGTGAATCGAACCGAATCACGCTGGGACAGGGATAGAAAAATGGATTCTCCGATTCCAACGGCGTGTTCGTAAATGCATTTAGCGGCCTGAACGTGTTGCGAAATGCGTTCCAAAATTAAATTTTAAATAAAATACAGTCCCACTCGATCTTTTCGAATTATATCTAATAAACGAGAATCAACCGAGTCGTTCGATCACAATGATCTATCCGAGGAACTTATCACGGACGGGGTTACATTTTACGAATGATTGTAACAATTCATTTAGTTTTTATTCAATTAACATGAATGACAACACGCAAGCGTGTCTACAGTATGCTTTGTGGATCGTATCCTAATTTCCTAAGAAGGAAAGAGCAATAACAAGTATCGTCGTCGATAATGCTATGAAGGCATGTGTATCTATGTACATATGTAATCGCCGACGTACAAATCAGTAAGACAAGGCAGTGAGATTACAGTGATCGAACTAAAACGTCGAATCTTTGCTAGTCTCATCCACTTATGCATGTATACATAAAATAAATATACAATTTGTACATGTACAACTGAACTGAACCGTAAACAATCAAAGGAAAGAATCAACTATTTCTCTTATCTACTCTCTCTCTCTCTCTCTCTCTGTGTGTGTGTGTGTGTGTGTGTGTGTAATATTCAGAAGAGCCGAGAATGTTTTGTACAAACTAAGAATTCTTATAATGGCAGATATTGCTATAATGTAACGTTATTTAGAATTTCGCTTCATCAGCGGTCGCTCTTAGGCGTTCACAGCAGGTCCTAGCCTCGTGTGTGGTAGAGGATTGAACGGAGTAACGTTCCGTATTTCTTTCTCCAGGCAAGTGGCATAAATGTCAGCAGTAAGTTCGCTCAATGGTATTTCGCTGTCAGCCTTCGCTGCCTTCACACCATCGTCTATCTTTTTCTTTATCTCGTTCTCTATTGCCTGGCAACGAAAACGAATATGTAACAATGTTTTTTCATTCGTTCGCAACAAATTTCGTTAAGCAGCAGCAGCAGCAGCAGCAGCAGCAGCAGCAGCAGCAGCAACCATACAGTACCTTGATTTCTTCCGGCGTAACAAGGTTAGAGTTCAGTATTCGCTCTTTAAAACCAGCGATGGGATCTCTGGTTTGCCTCACTTCCTGAATCTCCTCTCTCGTACGGTAACTCGTTCCAGGATCGGACATACTGTGTCCACTGTATCTATAAGTGACAGTCTCCATCACGAGGGGACCCTTGCCAGACGTGCAATAGTCGATAGCGAATCTGGTAGCTTCCCTGACCGCCAGCACGTCCATGCCATCCACCTGCGTGTGTGTGTGCGTGTGTGTAATCACGTGTTTCGCAATCGTTTCATCGCAATCAAATTTGTGATAAATTTACCAACCCAAATTCCAGGGACGTAATCTCCTCTGGTGTAATAATCCGTGCTCGCGGAAGCACGTTCGACGCTGGTACCCATACCGTATCCGTTGTTCTCGCAAACGAAAATGCACGGAACGTCCCACAGTTTGGCCATATTATAAACTTCGAACACTTGTCCCTGATTAGCTGCACCGTCTCCGTACAGCGCGAGACACACTCCTCCTGTATTCATGTACTTCTGAGCAAACGCTATTCCGACTCCCAATGGCACCTGAATAAGAAGAAGATTGCGTCACGCGATTTGCGAAACGCATAGTAGTCGTAGGCAGACAACAGTTTTCATTCGTTCGTTTCGAAGATTCGTCATCGAAAGCGAACGTAGAGTGCACGAGACAGATGAACACGCACTTGAGCACCGACGATACCGTTTCCACCGTAGAAGTTCTTAGCGTACATGTGCATGGAACCACCTTTGCCCTTCGCATTTCCACCCTTTCTTCCGGTTAATTCGGCCAGGACTCCAAACGGTTCTATTCCCATCAAATAGGTCCACCCGTGGGCTCTGTAAGCAGTGATCACAGAATCTTGTGGGCGTAGTGCTGCTTTCATGCCAACTGCACAAGCTTCCTACCAGGAGAGGAGATTGCAAGTTTCATTTATAAATTACTGTTCGTGTGCATAAACAATAACGAATAACAATAGATCAGAACAAATCGGATGTTCTGGGAAGTGCAGATCGTTGTGCCTGTCGTTACCTGACCAGAATAAAGATGACAGAAACCTCTGACGATCTTCTCCTTGTAAAGGTTTCCCGCAGCTGTCTCCATACGACGTATGGTATGCAATTTCTTGTAGAGCTCTAATGCTTCTTCTCTGGTGACGGTGACCCGAGTGGAGGGCCCGCTGTCCAGTTTGTGCAACCTGAACGGTTTCGTTTCAAACGAAGCTTCCGTGGCATAATTGTGTTTCTTGTTGAAAAAGTAAGAGACCACCTAAAAATACGTACGTGCGTACATCAGATACATCGTACTTACTCCCGCCCGATAGAGAAGGAGAAGGGAGATGGAAAGAGGGAGGCGGGAGGATGTGCAAAAAGCAAGAGAAATACACAAAACACAAAGTTCGTTAGTTCAATCTGATCTGTTGCGAACTTAGAAAAACGTGGCGGTCACGAAAGAAGTTGCTCGCGTTTGTGTGTCGCTGAGATTCTAGCTGTCTGATCTAACCAACACGTGATCTCGAACGATCGAACGTACTTATCATCGTCATACACAAGTAGAACAGCGCACGCACGAGCACGTGTAGGAGGAAAGCGGAAAAAAATCAGAACAATGCAGAAGAAAAATTAAACGATTAAATCGTATCCGCCGTCGGTGGTACGCGTCCAGAACACAGGAGTAGAGAAAAAAATCTATTCGAATAATTACCTCGTTCCAGGTGCCGAACTGGTGAGACACCAGCAGGAGGAGATATAAAAAAAGAAAAGAGCGAACGTTCAATTTGCGAGAGTCGAGTCGACAAGGATCGACTATTAGAAATTATAACAAGGGCCTGATGGCACAATGGAACGTGTTGGCAAGTACCGACTACTTTAGAGGTCATTCGTCGTCGTTCATCGGATCGCATGTACTCACGTTTCGCTTCGACGTTTGGGCGCCTACGCTTCGGATGCAATTCGGTATCATCATGTTTGATAGGTTCGGTGAGATCGATCCTGGCCGATGACGACGACGATCGTCTGAATTCGGACTGGGAAACCGGAGTTATCGCCGCACGAAATGGCTCCAACTGAACAACGGGGGAATCGACGATCATTCGTCGTGTGGCACTGTGGCGTGGTACGGCACCTCGGACCCCGCGGACAGTATCGTAATAAGACTCGATCCGTACAAACGTCACTGTACTCACACAGTTCACATTCGTACCCCCTCCACGCGCGATCCACTTGGTTAGCAGGAACGTTGGATCACAGATGACGTAATACGCAAGTTCGCGAGATGAAGAAATAGAGATAAAAAAAATAATACACGTACACCGCGTGCACCCGGGACAGACGAAGAAACGAATACTTTAATTCTACCAAAATTTAACACTTTAAAATACTTAACTTTAACGGTCAGTAACGTAAGAGAAATGCATGTGCATACGTAACATTGCACTGATAATAAGAACAATACGATGACAGTCGACTGCAAGGAAAATTGAGATGAAGTGGGTTGAAGTGGGTGAAGCAGCAGAAGTTCCAGAATCGGTCGCTTATTGATGATGCAGCAGCAGCAATAGCGTCAGCAGAAGCACGAAGCACGTGCGCACGGGGAACAAGAGATCCCGCGTCGGACAGGGCCCTGTCATCATTTTATTATCATTTCCTCTGCTGATTAACCGCAGCAGAGTAATTAAAAAATATTTGAACAAATAATTTCTTCCTTTATTCTTCGATCTCTGCATAACATCGGATCAGCGTCAGTAATACATAATTATACAATGACATACATGACTATGTCCATACGTACCACACGGTGTGATATACTTTGTACCTTAGAGCATATATTACTTAATCTAACAAGCTTTGGACGCAGAGAGTACAAGCCACAAGAGCCACAGTATATAAAAGGATATAGATATTCATCTCCTCGGTGTATTCATTGATTCTGTTTGAAAATTTATGCATTAGTATTAGTCCAATCGTTAAACCGCATCCGCGTAAAAAATCGGTGTACATACTATATATACAGTACATCGTCTAGTACATACAGCTGCGCATGTAGTAGAATTGTACGCAATGTATGTGTGTGTGTGTATATATGTATGTACAGGCGAAGGTGGGTCGGTCACCTGGAGATAACTGTAAAATGTCATCAACGACGAATGTGTGTCAGGCACAGGCATGGATCTGACGCTGTTCGGTGACACTCGTTGTTGGATCTGTTGTCACAATGATTATTTGGTTTCGCCAAAGTTAATTCGATCGAAAACAAGGCAGCTATAACCGTGGTGGTGGACCGAACAAAACTCGTATCGATTCACTTTGAGCGTACGTACCGCACAATAATTGTATCCGTAATGAGTGAAATACTAATTCACAACTCTTTCGACGTATTATACGCGGGGAGCGGAATGGAATAGTTGTCGTTGATGAAATTCATGCGATCGGAATGCGGGCATAAAAATTGTTTATCGTCGCCGTCGTCGTAAACATAACGTGTGCGACGGTATCGATCACTAGGTAAACGTATCTCGTCTAGTTTAGCTAACCTATAGTGCGTCGAGAATTCGATGACATTTCGACGATTGCAACAATGTGTCGTTTAATAAATGATATTAAAAAGATCGCCGCCGAGCGTCGATGTAGAATCAATCGATATTGGTAGTGGAGCAGTATCCTACTGTGTGTATTTGTCCTATTTCAGCCCCGGAACAACAAGACAGCACAGCTGACATGGAAGGACCAGAAGTAACATTCTTATTTCAATTTGGTTTGATTCGTGACACTGTCACGGTCGACAGCAGTACCTTGACTCTCAAGACTCTCAAGGAATTCGCCTGTGACTTTATAAACACCAAGTGTCCTGAACACGGTTTAAATCATTTGTTCGAACGATTGCTTTTATTGAAGCACGATTATAATTCTACCAATATCTTACAACTAGTAACAAATGCGACCGAAGTTGTCGATGAAACATTGGTAGAAATTGTTCTCAGTGGTACAGTATTAGTACTAGTAGTAATAGTAGTAGTAGTAGTAGTAGTTGTTTTCATAGCGAGCAGTTGGTTTTCGACTCTGGTCATTTCGCGATCAGTAGCGAAGAAAGCTGAAGCGTCAGTTCGAGTCAGCAGCTCGTTTAATCGTTTCAGCACAAGTGCCAAACGAGGAGGTTCCCATTCGTCCCCACGCTTTGACCGTTCATTCGTACAAAGTTCCCACCTTTTGTGACTTCTGCGGAGAGATGCTGTTTGGTCTCGTTCGACAAGGTTTAAAATGCGAAGGTACCTGATCCACGACGGATGCGTACGACCACGTTACGCTATGCCGCAGTCACTCGGGAGTAGAGAGCAGTGCACAACGATTAATTCGATTCGCTATGCGCAGGTTGTGGAATGAATTACCATAAGAGATGCGTTATAAAAGTACCTAATAATTGCTCACACGATGCCAATAGTCAAAGACGACGTAATTCCACAATGTTGAACGTACCAAGATCTCCGAGTCAAGGATCTACCAGTAGTTTGACCAGCATCAGTGACGATAATCATAGTACAAACAATACACCAAATGCAAGTCAAAATAACAGTACTTTGGTAAGCTGTTCCAGCAGCAGGTCGTAACCGATCCAAACTGATACGTATATAGAGACGACTACTTTCACTCGTACCTCGTGCAATTTACGCGTAGTTTCACATAATCATATCGTGTCGTGTTTCATGTGTGTGTCGACGGGCGTCCAAAATTAGACAATACCCAGCATCACAATGGCTCCAAAGCAGTCTCGCTCTCCTTCATTGGGGGGTGGTGCTGGTGGTGTTGCTGGTGGTGGAAGACCAGTGTGGGTCGAACGGGAGCTCGCAACGCGTATAAAAATTCCGCACACGTTCGTACTGCACACTTACACCAGACCGACCGTGTGCGGATACTGTAAAAAATTACTGCGTGGTTTATTTAAACAAGGCCTACAATGCAAAGATTGCCAATACAATGCGCACAAGAAGTGCATTGAAAAAATACCTAAAGACTGTACCGGAGAGAATCCACGAGACAATACAGGTGGGGTTCGTAGTAGTAGTAGTAGTAGTAGTAGTAGTAGTAGTAGTAGTAGTAGTAGTAGTAGTAGTAGTAGTAGTAGTAGTAGTAGTAGTAGTAGTAGTAGTAGTAGTAGTAGTAGTAGTAGTAGTAGTAGTAGTAGTAGTAGTAGCAGCAGCAGCAGGTGGTTCGCTTTCATCTCGAATGTTTCTCACATTTCGTCGACACTCTTTCAATGTGAAGAACGATACAGACTATCTCTCCGGTAGGTAACGAATATCCCGACAGCGGTGTAGGCAGCGAGCCAGAAGGGAAGTGCGACGGTAGAAACGACGAAGGTGACGCCGACAGCGACGCCGAATCTCCTTCACCTCCTCAGCATTCATCCTTCGCAGCGGACGAAACTAAAGCACTCGCCGCCGAGTATACTGTAAAACACCACCGGCGTTCTTATAGAATAATAGAAATTCTACCGAACGTACCTGCCGAGCAGCAGGCAGCGCACACAGAGAGAACAGAGACTCATTCAGACTATTCTTCTAGGAACAAGTCCCAGGAGCAGGCAACCAGGATGATATTACTTACGACGAATTTCAAAAGTCGAGACCCTCGAGGTAAATTAAACGTGCAATCCTACACTTCACACATCATCACCCGCGTCGTCGTCATCATCATCATCATCATCATCATCATCATCATCGTTACCACATACGTTTAACCGTTTATGTTTACATGTATCTTTTCGTCGCACCAGCTGCAGTTCTACACCAAGCAATAATATCCCTTTAATGCGCATAGTGCAAAGCGTCAAGCATACTAAACGCCACGGTGGCGGTTCGAAGATCCTGAAAGAGGGTTGGATGGTACATTTTACAAGTCGAGATCCAATGGTAAACCAAGCATAGAAAGATAACACTAACGATCGCATACATCGTTCACACCCTTTTCACTCTCACAGCTGTTAAACGATCTTGTCAATTTCCTTTGTAGAGAAGAAAGCATTACTGGCGACTCGATACGAAAGCGATAACGTTATTTCAAAATGAAAATAGCTCGAAATATTATAAAGAAATTCCGTTGGTCGAGATACTGTCCATCGAAACTGCCGAGACGTCCCGTTGTCAGCGTAAGTCAAACACCGAGCGTTTTCCACCACGCGTCCGCTTCTATAAAAAAGAAATCGAAAAAAAGAAAAAAAACGAACGACGACAACTGTTTCACAGGGGCAATGCATTGCTTCGAGTTAAAAACTCCTACCGTCGATTATTACGTCGGAGAAGATCCGTCGTATGCGGCAGATAATTGTAGTCAAATTCCTCGGCAGCAGCAGCCGCTACCGCCGCCAGAGAGTGGAATCGGAGCCCACATAGCCAGATCATGGGAAACCAGTATCAGGCAAGCTCTCATCCCCGTAACTACCGTCGTCGTATCCGCAACCGGTACGTACCCTTTTGTCGAGCTCAGTCGAGTGAAAAGATGATCGTCGTCGTCGTCGATCGATCGTCTAATAATAAACGAGACGACACGAACAAACAGGTCAGACAGCGACAGAACAACAACCAGCAGCAGCAGCAGCGGAACAACAAGGACGTACGGAACCTGAAGAAGAGAACCTGATCACGGACATGTCTCAGTTGTACGAGATCTTCCCGGACGAAGTCTTAGGTTCCGGACAGTTCGGTACGGTGTACGGTGGTGTCCATCGAAAGAGCGGTCGGGCGGTCGCCATAAAAGTAATCGATAAATTACGCTTTCCTACGAAACAAGAGGCCCAACTGAAAAACGAGGTCGCTATACTACAGAATCTCTCGCACAGCGGTGTCGTGAATTTAGAACGGATGTTCGAAACTTCGGAACGAATATTCGTAGTTATGGAAAAATTGAAAGGCGACATGCTGGAGATGATACTGAGCTCCGAGCGGGGCCGCCTGAGCGAGAGGGTAACCAAATTCTTGATCACGCAAATATTGGTAGCGTTGAAACATTTGCACAGCAAGAACATCGTTCATTGTGACTTGAAGCCCGAGAACGTGTTGCTGAGCAGCGGCGACAGCGAATTCACGCAAGTGAAGCTGTGCGACTTCGGTTTCGCTAGGATCATAGGAGAGAAAAGTTTCAGAAGAAGCGTCGTTGGCACTCCGGCGTATCTGGCACCGGAAGTTTTGCGTAACAAAGGATACAATCGATCTCTGGACATGTGGAGCGTGGGTGTAATCATTTACGTATCCTTGAGCGGTACATTTCCATTCAACGAAGAAGAAGACATCAATGAACAAATTCAAAACGCAGCTTTCATGTATCCGCCCAAACCTTGGCAGGAAATCTCGTTCGACGGTATGATATATGTGTACAGTAGTAGTAGTAGTAGTAGTAGAATAAAATAATCCGTATCCGCGCGTATCCGTACTCGATCGGTTAACAATAATGATCAAATGATTAATTTTGACAATCTTTTTCACTCGATCAGCAATCGATTTAATCAATAATCTATTGCAAGTAAAACAAAGGAAACGTTATACGGTGGATAAAAGTTTGCAACACGTTTGGCTTCAGGTAAGTGATCCGTAGACCATTTTACCTTCGCCGCAGCCTCGTCGTCGTCGTCGTTAATCATTCGCTCTGTTGTTTCTGTTGCGATCTCAAGGATCATCAGACATGGTGCGATTTACGAGAATTGGAAGCGAAAGTGGGATATCGTTATTTAACTCACGAAAGCGACGATGCCCGGTGGTCGGCGTACAGTACAGGCCAGCGCACATGACAAAACTCTTCGCCTGACATCAACACCACCACCACCACCACCGAATCAAACATCGAATCGTTGCCAAATACTTTGTCCACGCATCACAAAGGCTGGGCTCGAAGCGCTCGAGCCACGTTGCGACGTTTCATTCGTGCTTGACTCGACGACGTTTGACGACGAGCAACAACAAGGAATAAACGTACTACCGAACCGCAGGAAGATCGCAGATCTTGAACAGTAACGGGCAAATGGTATCCGACAACAACATTCCTGCTGAGCATCGCGTCCAGAAGAAACGACGACGACGATGGTGACCAGATATCGAGAAGAGCAACAGGAGCTGCACGTTCTCGCGAAAGTTCGCAAGGAATTTTAGTAAGGGACAGTAATCGCGCGCGTCGATATCGTAAGATAACCGTGACACAACAATTCTTCCGTAGTTAGTAAAGCGTGAAAGATACTTAAGAGAAAGACAGACACGATATACTCGAGACATTTTCGAACAACAATTATTCATCGCTCGTGATTCGATACCACGACGACAACAACGAGATGACAGACGGGTAGTCGTTTCCGTTTCGTTCCATTACTTTAATAGAAAAAGATATATACACATACATATATACAAACATACAAACATATATATATATATATATTTAAAGAATATTTTACCACTAAACGCGCAATATATACATATTTTTCAGCTTAACGTAGAAATATGTAGCATGTTTTATAATCAAGCACGAAGGTTGCTTAAGAGCGGTAGAAGGACGGTGATCAGATGACGACGAAACAGCAGTGCACAGCGGCGTGTGCAAACTATAAAACATACTGTATAGATTTCTTTTATACAAACGTCCGTCGACGTTCATCGGCGGGGGTATGGGGATACGATGGGAGTAGAAATCGCGTAATTATCGCGTACGAACTTTTTAACTCTTCAGAAATTAAATTAACATTCGTAGAAGTATATGCAAAGTTATCCTGTACGCACAGCCTGCAGTAATAGCCAACTAACCGTACTCACTCGGTGACTTTTCTTCAAAGCGTCTATTAAACTCGTAAGCGATAGAAGCTTCGACGTTTCGTATCGCGTCGTATCGCACGCGTCAAATTCCTCGAAGGAGCAAGACGCTCGCTTCTCTTTAATCGAATTCGAACTCTTCTTAAACGTTCTCCTCGATCAGTAACAATTATCATCGACCGTAAAGACAGGGAAATCGGTAGTACTACTACCCAGGCGCGATTAGCGTTTTGCATTAGAAACAGCAACAACGACCGAAATTCATTCATTCTCTGCTCGACGACGATCGATACGCAGCAGCGGTAGCAACACATTCCATTCAAAGGGTGCAGAATCAGAAAGGTGTGACGAAGACACCGCCGATCGATTCGACGCATCTCACAGTTCACACACGTTCATTCCTTTCACGTCCGTCGTGCTTCCTCTCATCGTCGGTAAACGCATAATTAGTAGGATCAACGACGATGGATCACACGGACGGTGGTTCACACACAGTGTTCGCATTTTCGCACACAGCACCAACAACTGAAACACTCCACAAATACTCGACTATTATTTTTCTATTACGTTTTTGCAACATTTGTACTCGTCACGCGCGACGTGTAACAAGCAACGTCGGACAGAGAGAGAGAGGCGACAGGAAACGCGAAACAAACGTTCGAAAAACGCTAATATCGAAGATGAAATGAAACTCGAACAAGCGTACCGTACCGTACGTCTCACACCTTCGTCGCAACAAAGACGGAAACACTTTTAATTACTCGTACATGTACGTCGCAGCGGAGGAACACAGGCGTCGGAACGTAACGCAAAGAGTCGAATGATTATTTCAAACAACGAACGATTACCACGAAAATCGTTTAGGAAACGACGTTCGAAAGTAGAATGCCCTCTCGTACGCGTATCGCTATCCATTAACGGCACGATCACACATACAAATCGTCGATCGTTTGTACATATTACCGATTCATCATAACGAGTTGACGGATATTCATCGTCAAGTTTTATAAAAGTATTGAATTTTATAAAATGCATCAACAATGTAATTCGTTTAAACTATAAGTTTGTAATATTATTCGTAGTTACAGGCAGTTAACAAACAAACAGTACTTAAAAGACAGTAATAACAAATCGAATCGAGTAAGTAACAGGCAAGTAAAACAGAACTAACAAATTTTCATATAAAACATTAACAATGTTACGACAGTGTACTCACGACGGAGATACAAATAAATAAATGCCGAAGCAAACAGTGTGACGTCTTTCTACAACACGCATCGCTTCCTTTCGCGTATCAAAACGTCCGATCCTACGTTCATTCGCACGTCGTCACGCGCGTTCTCCGTCCTCGTTAACGTCCTAACAGCACTCGTACTCGAAATAATAACATCCTGGTCCTCGCGACACTCGGATACCCCACATAATTTCATCACCGTTCGGTCAGTGTTCGCGGTGCAATCGCCGCCGCCGTCGCCGTCGTTGCCCGAGTACTCGCCGGCGAAACCCGGTATCTCTCCTTCGGACGTATACGTGGAGTACACGAGTCATCGGTGGTACGGTACATTTAGAATCGTACGAAACACGAGTGGCTGTTTCACCTCGTCGACCGCACACACGCGTCACCACGTACAAGCCGTGCGCAATCCGCGATTCCGGAAGTAAAATGAGGACAACGATCACTTTGCTATTACTTCAAACATTATCATCGAATCATCGCAGTTCAGCAGAATGGATAGACATGCCCGAATTTTCGGACGATAAAAAAATATACAGGTACGCACACAAGTAAAAAACGAAGCACGCACGAACACCGATCCAAATCGCGGATCTACCGCCGCCGCCGCCGCCGCCGCCGGGTGGCACGTCACAAGCTCGTAACGCGACAACGTCATACTCTTTATTCGCAGAACGGCCAACGCGAAAGAAGATCACTTTTATAAATTCGCCGAGAAGAACACGGCGGACGCATTCATGCACGCGCGCGACGAAACTCGAACGACAGCGGAACATCCGAACGACGACGGACGAAAGAACAGTATCTGGTTGGAACCGAACAAAACCACCACCGTCACCATCAACAACGCCACCACCACCACCACCACCACGGAAAGTAGTCGCCGCAAAATCGAAACAACGATTCCTTCGACGATCGAGGTAACCGCTATATCCGAGACGACCGATTCCATCGAACAGACATCCGACGGTTCTCGATCCTCGCACATCGTTTCAGAACGCGCCAGAGAACGAACAATGCATCGACCAGCCGTCCTCCTTCACCTCGAACGACACAGATCTCTTCAAACATCTGCCAGTGGAGCTTCTGAAGAGCGTTCACCGTACTTTAATGGAATCGCACAAGTCCACATCGAGCAGAGGAAAAATCGAATTTTTAAAAACATTCGAGAACACGTTGATCGGTGAAATAGGTAAAGAGGACCCGAATCAAACAATCGGAGGATCAGTCAGTACGTAACACGCGTAGTGCACAGAGAAAAAAAAAAAAAAAAAATTTTCAGAATCTCGGATCACGAAGGTGACGACGATCGTTCGGCAAAAGAGAGGTGCCGCCGAACACCACGGTTACGATCACGGTCACGATCACGAAAACGCGACAGGATTTCCTTCCACAGAAGGTGCTCTCATGGCCATCTCGTTCCTAACGTTCGCCGTGTATCTCGTCAGACTAGTGATGGTAAGAACCGACTCGACGATCCGCGTTCAGTCCCTACGCGACGAACGAAATTCGACACTCGAACGATTCACGCAGTAACAATCCGTTTCTCCAGCTTCTGTTCAGAAACATGAACAACCCTACGCCAGCCACCACCACGGGCGGTACGTTCCTCATAGGCAGAAGGAAGAGATCGAGCACGAGTAAATTCGACGACGACGACGCGACGACGTTTCTTCGAGGTCTACACAGTAGTCTCTCATCGACAACCACTACCACCAGATGGCCGTAAACGGAATCGTCGAAAGAAGGTCAATCGAGGCGCAACTACGTACGACACTCCGAGGTCCGCATCCGAAAGTCTTCACAGAGCCGCAAAACAATTCTCGGACCCGAGTCGAACGTCTCGACGCGTCGCCGTACACACACATCTCTCTCTCTTTATCTCCTTCTCCCTTCCTGTTCTGCTCACAATTTAGCCGATACCAACGACGACGCAGGTAACGACGCGGGTAACAACACAGCCTCGAGATACAAACCCACCGGACGTTGCAACGGTAAATCTCGCAATCGTCCAACGATCGAAGCCAATCCAACTTTGTCAGCTCGATAAACGTGGCGTCGCTGTCGGTTCTCACACGGCGCTAAAACACCTTGTTTCGTAAGATTCGACATCGTCGTACGGATCAGATCGAGCGACAAGGAGTAAGGGTGTCGTCCCCAGTCGTCGTCGCCGCCGCCGCCGCCGCGTCCTTCGAGGAACAATCTCTCCATTCGTCTCTGTACTCGCACCAAAATCGTTTCCGTGGTCATCATCTCGTCGTCAGTCTCGTCCCACTGCGTGCAACAAAAGAAGAAGAAACACGGATGACAAGCGGCCAGCGAACAAAAGGGAAAGCAGCATCCGTCAGATCGCTAGCAGCAGCAGTAAGAGCGAAACCGACCGATCGGGCGTGGAACTTACCTCGAACAACGCGAGACACGTAACATATATCGCATCTACGAAGGGCAGCAGTACGTGGCAGAGCAGAGAAAACACTTTGAAATCTTTCCTTCGTACGTACGCACCGTCTCGAACGCTTATACAGTCTCGTTCGGACAACAAACGGAAGACTCGTTCCCATTCGGCTCTGATCCCGGACTCGTCGTCCGTCGTGGTCGGGAAAGGCATCGCGAATTCCGTGCTGAGCAGAGTCCTCAAGAAGACGTATCGTTCGAACGCGATCCCTGCAGGCACGCGAGACAGAACAGGTGACGAAGAAGGGACGAACGTAGGAACGCGCGCACGTGGAGAAGAACGCGATTACCAAGTGGAACGTCGTGGTCGTCGTTCCCTATCGCCACAGCTAGGACGGCTGGTTCCATCAAGAACGCCAACGTCGGATTCAAATAAATGGAAAGGTTGAGAACGGGTACAGCTATCCTCATAGTGGTCTCCGACAAAGCGTGCCCCTTGACACGAGCGACGGCCGTGGCGCCGCCGGTGGTTCGATGCCTCTCTCTGAGTCTCAACGCGTGGGACGCGTCGAAAGCGATCAATTCCTGGTGAGGCCGCAAAGCACGCCGGAGCAACGTCTCGGTCGACGGGTGGTCGCGCGACCTGCGGAGAACAAAATGCCAAAATGATCGGAGAGAGCGCGGAGCGACGGTAGCCACCGGGGAGAAAGTACTCACTCGGCGGAACGCGGACGAACCGTGGCGCCGAAAACTCGCAAGAGTCGTTCGCACCAGAGATAGTCGGAGATCAAGCGGTCGGTGCCGGTATACGGGTGGTGCGGACACGTCTGGCTCCTCTCGTTGAACAACAAAGCGATCAAATTAAAAGGCACGAGTATCGTGTTCCTCTTGTGCGAATCGACTATGGCGTAAGCGAATCTCTCGGTAACGGACGCGGGTAATCTCGCGCCGGGCGAGAGGACGCTCTCTCTGCGACGTCGCACTGTGAGGAATCGGCACGCAGAGAGAGGTTCACCGACGTTGACGACGACGCTGCCGTAAGCAGACGGTTCGCGGAGAATGGACAGCGAGCGAAAGAGGCCGGCAGTGGTCTCGGTAGGTTTCGGGACTCCCAGCAACTCGTAGGCGAACAACAACTCCTCCGGCGGTCGCTCGTAATTGAGAGCGACGGGTACGACGTAGACGTCGGGAACGCCGCCTTCGAGCAAAACGTCCAAAACGGTGGACAGAAGACCTACGGAAGAGGAGAAACGAGGACGAAACGATGGGTAGCGCAGAACGGTAGAGAACGGAGGGGCGCGACGGTTCAAACGTACCGAACTTGGGCGAGAGACTCTTGAGACTCCTGCTCCTGGTACCCTCGATGAAAAACTCTATCGCTCTGTCGCTGTGGCGAACCAGAGCGGCGACGTAGGACGCGAATACGCTCTTGTACAACAAGTCGGAAGAGAAACTGCGTCTCATGTAAAAAGCTCCGGTGTGCCTCAACAACTCTCCGACGACGCACATCCGATAGAAGTCCATACCACTGGCAACGTTGGGAAGCGCCATGTCGTAAGAGAAGAGAAGGTAGGACATCAAGACAAAGTCCAAGTAGCTCCTGTGGGTAGGCGCGTAAACGTACTGGACCTGAGAGAGGCGCATCTGCCTCTTGATCCGGAAGACGGCAGTCTCGTTGACGTAAACGCTGACGAAAATCCTCTTGAGAGCCTTGGAAACGAGAACACCTGCACGCGGCGGGAGCGGTGAGAAGAGGAGAAACGAAGGACGAGCACTCGGGCGATCGCCAGCACGGACCGCCCGCCCGCTCGCCCGCGCGTCCGGAGACGGAGCGACGGCGACCGCGACACACGTACCTATCCAACGAACGGTAGCCAAGCGGGCCTTGCCGGCCATCTCGTGGACGATGGCACGAGCCTCGTGGAGAACGGTCTGGACGTCGACTCGGCGGGCGGCAGCCAAGGACGAGATCGCGGAGCGAACCTTCGGGTCGTTCAAAACGGTTCGCAGGATCTCGTCGCGGGAATACCTGGACTCCGGCGGAAGCTGGTGCGGCGACAACGGATCCATGGCGCGAGAAGCCCAGGAGACGTCGGAACCTCGGCGTCTAGCAGCCAGGAGATCGACGACCGTTTCCGAAGACCAGCGTTCCTCCGCCATCGTCGTCCGTGTCGTCGTGGTCGTCTTGGCGATCGCTGTAGTCGGAGAAGGGACGACGGAGCAGAAATCGTGTCGGACGAGGTCCAACGATCGCAGAGACCGTAACCTCGACGCGTGGACGAACGGGGACGACGAAGACGAATCACGCCGCGACGGTACACGCACACACGCGAACGACGCGAACGGAGCGACGAGCGGCGGACGGGCGGACTCGACGCGACCGCCGCCGTCGCGGTGGACCGTGAGTCGGTCCGTAGGAAGGGCGAGCCGGAAAAGAAGACAACGAGGGGTCCGGTGGACGGTGCAGACCGACCGTGGAAATTACCGACAGCGAGAACGTGGACGTACGACCGAGCGTGGGAACGACCGACAGCGGAAACGTCGGCGCGCGACCGACCGACCGCGGGGACGTCGGACAGGGGGAACGACCGAGGGCGGGAAGGACAACGGTGTGGAACGGGAGTGGAACGGGGGTGGACACGGAAGGAGAAGAAAGTAAACTTTACACGTAAACGCAACAAGAAAGAGAAATAAACGCACAATACACGTGGAAACTCGTCTTTATTCTCACCTCGAACGAACCCGTCCCCCGGAGTCCGTCTCCGTCGTGGTTTTTCGAACGCGAGTACAGGCGACCGAACGGTGCGGAAGCAGGGGTCTCGTAATTCATGCGACGGTAGGAAAGCGGGGACGACGCGACCAGGGTGGGGACCAGTAGTCGGTGGGGGTGCGCAGCGACGGTGACGGTAGCGCCGCGGAGAGTCGGGTGAACGCGCACGAGCACGCACGAGGGGAAGAGGAGTGGGGATCGAAAGACGGGCGAAAAAGAGGGGAAGCGAGTCGCGAGGAAAAAACGACGCGCACTTTGGTGGAAATCTCGCGATCGGACGTTGGGCGGAGGGTGGGGGGGCGTTTGTCGCGGGGAATATTTCGTGGGTGGTTCGAAATCAGGGGAGTGAGGACGATCGGGGATACGGGGGAGAACGCGTGAGGGAAGCGGGGACGGTACGGGGAGGTCGGTGGTCGGTGGTCGGTGGACGTCGGTAGTCTCGGGACGGGAAGCGCGAGTACGGCGGGCTATTCGGGGTGGGTGCGCTGGCGCGGCGGCTGGACGGTGGAGAGGGGTGTGAAAAGGGTGGGAACGAGAAGAGGGATGGGGGGAGGGTGAGTATGGGTGGAAGGAAGGAGAAGAGAGAAGAAAAAGAAAAAGGTGGAAAAAAAGAAAAGAGAAAGGAAAAAAGGAAGGGAAAAGAGGGAGGGAAAAAAAGGGAAGGAAAAAGAAGAAAAGAAGAAGGGAAGGGAAAGGAGGGGGAGTGGAAGTGAGAATGGGGGTGTGAGACGGCGTGAGAGGGTGTGAGAAGGTGTGAGAAGGCGTGGTTGGGAGTGGGAGGGAGTGGGAGGGAGTAGGAGGGTGTGGGAGATGGGG